CTTCATGTACACCTCCTCATCGAGGTCACCATGAAGAAAAGCGTTATGCACATCCATCTGATGAACCTCCCAATTGCGGGCAGCCACTACCGCAAGGAAAGTTCTAACGGTGACCATCTTCGCCACGGGAGCGAAAGTTTCTGTATAATCAATGCCCTCCTCTTGATGATTGCCAAACACAACAAGACGGGCCTTGAGACGTTCAACGGTCCCATCAGAGTTATACTTAATTTTGTATACCCATTTACATCCAAGAGCCCGTTTTCCGGGTGGCAATTGCGTCATAACCCAAGTGTGGTTATCCTCCAGCGCTCGTATTTCTTTCTGCATAGCATCTCGCCAACCGGCGTGAGTCATGGCCTCTTTAAAAGAACGGGGCTCCATACCTGTAAGTATAGCCCCAAGAAAAGCACGATGGCGAGGGGAAAATTTTTCACAGTTCATATAATGAGCTATAGGATAATGCGTACCTGAGGAACCAACGAGAGACGGCGTGGGCGGAGATGGGCTTTTGTGTTGGACGTGGTGGGTAACAAAATCTCGAAGGAGGACCGACGTGCGTTTTTCACGCTGACCGCGGCCTAGGTGTTCATGCTCAGGGGAAGTAGTAATTGAAGCAGTGCCTGTATTACTGTCCGCAGCAGTGGCATGAGGATTGCTGGGCATGCTGCCCAATTCTGAGTCAAGCCGAAAAATTCTCATCATCATCAACCAATGGTACTGGTACATCCAAAGCAGGTGATGTATCTCCTAAATCCTTTTCAGACCGTGTGTCAGAAACATTTGAAAAAGGAAATTCATCTTCATGAAATTGAACATCACGCGAAACAAAAATGTCACCGGTTTCATGATCACACACCTTCCACCCCTTTTTGCCATGAGGATATCCGAGAAAAACACATCGCCTACTACGTGAAGTAAATTTATCACCCCGGGATTTATGATTATAGGCAAAACATAAACATCCAAAAACTCTCAGGTGACGAAAATCAGGAGCATTGCCAGTAAGAACTTCAAACGGGGTCTTATTTTCAAGTATACCAGATGGAGTGCGATTAATCAAATATACGGCTGTCAATACACATTCACCCCAAAACCGGATTGGGAGGTTAGCCTGAAACATCAAAGCACGAGCCACATTTAAAATGTGACGATGCTTACGTTCAACCCTCCCATTTTGCTGAGGCGTATGCACACAAGATGTTTGAAAAATAATTCCATGAGCATCAAAATGAGGAATCATGCATTTAAATTCCGTACCATTATCGCTACGAACAATTTTGATAGTCGTGTCAAACTGATTTTCAATCATAGCAAGAAATGATAGAAAAAATTTGTGAACCTCCTTCTTGTCACGTAATAAATACACCCAAACGGCTCTAGAGTAATCATCAACAATAGTCAAGAAATAAACGGCATCACAAGTAGAAGGTGTATTATACGGACCCCACAAATCACAGTGTATTAATTCTAAAATTCGACTGGCTTTATTATTGCTAAGGGGAAAAGAATCACGAACTTGTTTTGCTTGCGGACAGACACTGCAAGCATTATTCAATTTCTTGCTAGAATTAGAACTAAACACTGGTAATAGTTTAATAACACGATCTGAGGGATGCCCCAAACGTCGATGCCACAACTCAAATTCAGGTAATCTGGATGTCGTCACAACATGTAGTAAAGGTATTCCCCGGAAATAGAATAGCCCATCTCGCCGTTCACCGGCTCCAATCAGGTTCCTCGAGTGACGGTCCTGTATAGCACATAATGAGTCAGTAAAAATCACCATACAACCACATTGATCAATCAATTGAGATATGGATATAAGATGACAATTTAATCCCGGGACAAAAAGAACATGTTCAAGAGCAAAATTATAAGACAACTCCACACGTCCTGTCAACGTGGCATTAGCCGTACGTCCGTCAGGCAAGCCAACCCGACACCCAGAAATTTTGCCGACGTTGCTAAGGCGAGATATGTCCCCGGTAACGTGATGCGAAGCTCCCGTGTCAAGAATCCAGTCACAAGAAAAGGACTTACCCGCCATGCGTTCACTGGACTCTACTTTGGTATCAATCATATGTAAAAGAGCCTGCACCTGCTCTTGGGTCAACATGCTCAAAGGATGCCCAGTACTGCTGGCAGAAGAAGACGGAGTATCTGAAGTCCCCAGTGCAGGAGAAACTGCGTGTGCCCGTGCTCCCCCTCGCCCTGGAACAGTAGCTTTGTTCTTATTTCTGTCTTCCCACCACTCGGGATACCCAACAAGCTTGAAACATGAACTGACTTCGTGACCCTTCTGCCGGCAATGGGTACACAGCAGTTTAGAACGATCTGGTTTTTCGAGTTTGCCCTTCGGTCTGTCAGCTTGTAAAGCGAAGGCACTGAGATCTGGCACCGTTGCTTTCCCTCGTGCTACAGCTCGTGAGCTTTCCTCGTGCAACATTTAAATCCGGTAATGGTGTACGGGATAGCAAATTTGATCTCACAGTGCCATAGAGTTCATCATCTATACCAATTAAAAATTGGTGTAGTTGTTCTTCATCACGGTCTGCGGCGAATTTCTCAACAACGCCACAAGTACACCTTCCACACGTACACGCATGAAGAGGTTTCAGCCTGTGCAATTCGTCATATAATCCCATCAGCAGTGTGTAATAGGCATCAACCGACATACCTTTAGCTTGTTTACAATCAGTAATCGAGGCACGTAGTTGCTGCAGACGCGGGCCATTAGCGACGCTAAAGCGTTTCTCAAGATATTTCCACATGCTGCGTGCTTCGTCATGGAACGGGATTGACGCCGCAACCGCTGCATCCATGCTTCGCAAAATTCAAGAAACAATCATTGAATTGACTGTTTCCCAATCCTGTAATTGTTTTGCCTCAGTTGGTTTTCGCATCGTGCCTTCGATGAAAGCATGCTTCCGGCGTGCCTTCAAGGATAGAGTAATAGCCCTAGACCAAGCCACATAATTATCACCCTTGAAAATCACATGAGTGATAAGATTTCCGGGCTGATCTCCTGACCCGAGATAATATGGCGAAGATGAGTCAATTTTCGAAGCTTCTGCGTCTCCTGCCATGGCCGTTTGAGGAGCAACTCGCTGGTGTTGCTACAGCCTTCTACGTACATACAGGAGGTGCGCCGCCCCTGTTATGGCTCTGATACCATGATGGATTCTCACGTATCATTCAAAATAGGCTAATTGCCTTAGGTTTCATTAATCACAATAGTATAATTTATACAAGTAATTACATGGGCCCATGGGCTGTTAAGGCTATATGAAGGTAAACACTAATTACATAATAAGACCCAAAATAGTTATTCTAACAGTTCATGTATTATCCAGGCCTTAAAACTCCAATATTTCTAGCTCATCAAAATACAAATGCCATCTTTTAGCACGTTATTGCTGTGAAAAATCCTCTTATGGGCACAACATTTAGTGTGTATTTGTATTTCCCTGGAAAACTATAGTCATGTGAACTAATGGAGTAATGGGATGGTTTGAGACGCAGAAACGTCTGCTGTAGAAAGATATTGTAGTTACCCTTTACACACACACATAATATTTAATGTAATTGTGAAAATAATACATTCATATATGAACAATTTTTCTTTAAACCAGTAGGATTTAAGAAGAGCCCGTCCAAACACGTAATAGTAGGAAAATGAGGGAAAAAGTTGAATCCATAATTCCATATAAAGAATTAGTAGATTAATGGTCCCATAAAAACTTTAGATTTTCAGCTTTAAGATGTCAGAGCAACCAGGTATAGATTCAGCTCAAGAAGATGACTTGTGCTCACAATCTCACATGTCAATTAATCGACTGAAAAGAAGCTGGTTCAATAGTGAAGATAAATAGCTCAAATAACACAAAATTATGAACTGGGCAGCAACTTGGAGGCGAACACTCGAAATGCTTAGGGTTTTACTTTTCATATATCGCGACAATTTGCATAAACCTACCTGATTGGAGAAATACAGCATCTCAGGCGCCTAAAATCGCAAGCATTATAACTATACGGAGTGAATTTGAACGCCGACCAGTGAGAGAAAGCTGATTTTTTTTTTAATTTCTCACGCCTCTTCCAAAAGATGGAATTATAAAAGATATAAGAGCCGCTATGAGTTTGATTGCCGAGTTATTTCTTCCGTTGTCCCGTTTATTTTAAACTCAGTCAAATCTCTTCACTCTCTGTACTCTATATGTTGATTGAATTGCTATAGTGTACTGAAGAATGAAGCTGATGGTATAGGGTGCCGGCGAAAATAAGAGGTGCTGGCGAATTCCGTCCGGCGACGTCGCAGGGGTTGGTCAAAGACAGTGCTAGGGCCGGTACATTTGTAAAAATGTGCTAAATACACAGTACCATGATCGCTACTAGCTACCAATTAGAAAAGTGGTTTACTTATCGGTCTTTTAAAAATGGTTTAGAATCCTATTATATTTTGCAACATTAAAAAAAACAAATTGATGGTGGGAAAAACCGCTTGTCTTCCCGTGTTTAAGGTAAAAATTAAACATGTTTCATGTATATAATTTTTTAAAAAATATTTAAATATTATAAAAATATTAATGATTTAATTTTATTCAATAATTAAATTTTGTACTCTGAACATTACATTAACCTTTTATTATCACGTAAATAATTTTGATGCATTTTTAATCAAATGAGTTAATGAGAGTTTCACACTTTCACTCATTGAACTTGAAATATTGTCTTCTATTACAATTTTATCCATTCTAAAATATCAATGCTTATCGTTTACTATAACTTCAACCTCAGTTGGATGATCGGCTACTCGGCTAAGGTCTGTTGAAGATGTGAGCAGCAAACTGAAAAAAAAAAAAGTGTTTCAGCATCTCTAGATTCTCAACTCCTACCCACTACTGTAAACTGCTTGTAAAAAATTGTAGTTAAATTTTTACTTTAAAACTACATTTTGCATTACAAAATACATTGTTTTGGTCACTTTACACTTCACAACCATATTTTTAGACTTTTTACAACATAGACCAAAACCTAATGTTTAATTTAATGACAACTCCAACTAATTCGGACATTAACCACAGACATGGATGCCATTTTCATTAGTCATAGTATCAGTCTCCCCGATACAGCTATTAAACATAGTAAGTGGCACAGGAAAGGGAAAAAGAAAACATGAGATATTTAGTATTACATACATTATTAAATAACAAATGTGTACAAGAACAGTCTAAATCAGTCCAACCCTTCTTCATCTCCACTGCTATCCCCAAACATGGATGCCATTTTCATGGCCAGATTTGCTGCCATCTCCCTCCTCTGAAAATCTGGCATCAACCTCAAACTATCCCGCATGTTCCCTATCTCACCCATTAGCTGCTCCAAATCCTCAAATTTGTATGTTGTTGTGCCGTTATCAGTTTCATCTTTTCCCAATTCTACTTCTCCAACCATTCCCTGCAGGCGAGATTGTTCTGGTTTTGGAAGCTCGTTGTCTCCAATGATGAGATTCATTTCACTACTATTGCCGTCTTCACAACCACTCTCCTTTTGCTTGCTAGATTCTGTGGTTGCAACAGGACCATCTGCAGATACCCAGCCTTCAACTGCATCGTCCCATGGATCCGCAGAACCAGCGGATAGGATTTCATATTCCAGTTCATATTCAGATTCTTCATCTGACACGTCTGTGTAGTTGTAACAAAAGCGCTAATGGTTTGTTTGTTTCAATATAGAATTAGAGCGAAGAGAAAAAGACAAGACGGAATGAGAGAAGAAAGAACCAATATCGTTTGTTTGGGGATGGAAGAATATAAGAGAAAAGATAATAGTCAGGGGGGCTTAAAAAAATTTATTATGAGAAAATTATAACCCTAACCTAACTAACTTTATAAATACAACATCCTACCCTCAACATTTATATACAAATACGGAGAAAAGTGAGCAAATAACACTTTGACAGTACTACATTAGTCACTGACAGTTGCGTGTACGAGGGTAGCACTCTCCACCGCTGCCATTTCTGACGACTGCTGCTACTGCCTAACACCACCACTAACAACAGCTGCTGCAGCCTAACACCACCACCAATGGCTGGAGTTAATATCAAGCACCAACATCTCTTCTACGGAAGATAGTAGAAATCGCAGCACAGCCAGCATTGCTACTTTGCAAATTGCAACTACAATAGCTATTCTTATTTTTACATATAAAACTTTGTTTTGTATATCTAACTTCAAAGCCATATGTAAAAAAAATAGACATGTAGTTCATTGTTGCCCTTTCTCTATCTCTCCATGTGACCAAAGAAATGCACAGGAAGATTAAGGGGATATTGGCTTGTCAATGTTAGCATTTGCATTTACATCTTTCGTTTCTCTCGTCATTGTTTCTCTTGTACATGTAGTACTAAACGATACATAAAACTCACATTTTTTACAACCTTTTACTCTTATCTTTTCACAATTCACATACGTATATAATTCTCCCTCCTCTTTTCCATCATTTGCAATGGAGCCAAAGATTCATTATTTTTTGGCTTGAGATTATGATGGAATAAAGCAAAATGGCTCACTAAACTGTCTGCGCTTCTTTGTTATGAAGCAGCAGTCAGTCCATGCAATCTTGGACGCGATTTTCACTATGGGTCATCCGGAAACAGTCTCTCTGTGCTTTAGTACAAGGGTAAGACTGCGTACATCTGACCCCCCCTTACCCCACCGTAGGTGGGAGCCTTTGCGGCACTGGGGTAAATGAAAATGATGAAATGATGATATAATTCTCCCTCCTCACCCCAAACAAAGGTTAATGATATGAAGATGAAATATTAATAGCAAATCAAAGATGCTCGAAGATAAAGAAACCTTGATCTTGGGGTAATGAAGGTTCATATATTTTATCACCAGACTTTAGTACCATTCCAGGCCACATATATGCAGATAGTGCCCCTTCAAGTCGCTCGACACCCTGAGAATCACCATCAACAGATAAGCCTGCAAATGTACATTACACGTGCATTTCAAAACATCTCATTATCTCTTAACAAAGTACACCTATATATGAACAAAGCAGCAGTCCAGGTGGCCCCAAAATTGCATTCACCAATGTGACTTTGGGGTAAAATGAACATTTCAGCGGTTTGTATTGCTTATGTGTGAGATCCTAGAGCTTCTATACAAATGAGACAATGAGCATGTCTCCAGCTCAATTTGGCTCGCTGGGGCTTCACCTCAGGTCATTTAACCGTATAATAATCACTTAACCTGAACTATTGTTACACGAATGTTAATACTACAAAATTACATGTAGGTCGTCAGGCTGACTCTATGAGAGAGCTTGAAACGAATCAAGATCAAGATTGGATCTGAGCTCGAAATACCAACAAGCAGAGCTCAATCCAATCTCGAATAGGTCCGAGTTGAGGTAAAAATGTGGTGCTCAGACTCGCCTTGGCTCGAATGACAATGCTAAGTCAAAATAAGAAGAATTTTTTTTAGAACAAGCCACTATTCACTATCACTCATTATGTGTGTGTGCGTGTTCTACCTTTGAGCATGTTACCCCACTCACCTCTCAGTGTTCTACCATAATACCCTTAGTCCTTACGTGGACCCTTTATCAATTCTGCTTACTCGAGAGTATGTTTCAATCTTGTATAGGTGATGGGTTTTTAAAAGGGTCAGATGGAGGGTTTTGGAGCTGTTGCATATGTATGCATGCGTGTGGGCATGAAAATAAGAGCAAAGGAATATAAGCAGTAGTAGTGCACAACATAATATAAAGCTACAGCCTTACACTTGTCAAAATCAACATTCGATGCACATGCTTCAACATATTCAATGTTGTGTTGACTGCACCATTCCATGCAGGCTTTCTTAATCCCCAGTGAGGATTCATCTTCACCTCCCAATAGATTACTCCCTTCTGTCTCAGCAATGCCAGAGTTAAATATTTCAGTGTATGAACTACCAGAAGATTCTGCATATTTCAGCAGCCGGCGTCTATACTCAACGTGGCCTGAATGACCAGGAAGAAGATCCACTTTGTTGCCAATGCATAACAAAATATCAAACTTCTGAATATCCGTGTGAGACACCCAATCTTTAAGTTCAATAAAAGATGAAACCTGCAGATGAACACTGAAGAGTCATAGGTTCATAAGAGGAAGGTTTACTCGAGTTTGATAACACAAACAGAAAGGGTGAGACTAACATTACTTATATCAAAAACCATCACCAACGCAGCCAACTGATCAAATATTGGAAGAGACCGGGCTGAAAACTTTTTACGGAGATTGGCCAACCAAACAGTAACATCAGCAGTGTAGTATTTTGTGTTGATTGACCACCTGAAGGTAACCCAAAGCCATTCTTTTTATATTGGGGAGGGAGGTGGCTAAACAAGAGTCACCGTATAAAGAGCAAACTATCGTCAACTTACCCAAACGCAAGCAAACCAGATGTTGTATCAGTAGTGTCTTCCAGATCTATTGAGAGCAACCCTACACATCATACATTAAGAAGTTGAAAAATGGTTCTCATGAGATAAATATCCTCCTCACTACGATATAAAAACACTAACAATGAACATGATATAGCAAAGAAACTACTCTTTACAAAGTTTCGATTTCTGGAAACGCATTAAATGCTAATTAAGATATGCGTGATGGTAATATTTTTAGGAGCACTTGATGAGAATATGGGAGTACAATCTTAAGAGTTAACTTGTCAGTTATAGCTTATAATTTTATAATCACGTGAATGAAGTTCAAAGTTCCATACAACTTATACTCAATACTGGAAATAGGTATTAGTGTACATTTCCACCAATGTATAATAAATTATTGTGCACTTGTATGCTATGGTTCTTATGTGATACAAGTAGAACTAATGATGAACCAAGTCCCTTCTTGAATGAAATTGAGGTAGGTGAATGAAATTTGGAGTGGAGAGATGGGGGCAAAAAGGGTCAAGTCACTTAAGTGATAAGTGGATAACAGTTACTCCATCCGTCCCATTTTACATGTCTTACTTTCCTTTTTAGGTTGTACCAAAATAAGTGTCAATTCTTTTTTTGGAAAGAAACATGTAGTCTACAGCATTTCATGCTATTATACTCAAATTTCAACCATAACTTTTCTTTTTTCAACCACTTTATTGATAATTGTGCCAAACCAACATGGGACACATAAAATGAGACAGAGGTAGTAAATCAAGGGTGTTACGTGGCTACGTGCAATAAAGTCTTACTTCAGAGGTAGTGGGTGTTTGTTTACATCATTCTTCTCAAAAAAGGATTGTTTTCCATGGAGAAGATGAGATTATTGTGCCGTGCTAGGCAGGTCTCCTGGTAGGGAAATTATTTTTTATGACACAAAGAACCCTAGATGGGGGACTTTATGGCCTGTTCGGATGGAGTGTTAAGAGGTGTTAGTAATGGAAGTGTTGAGAAGTGTTGGCCTTGACACTTGTTTGGGAGATTTTTTTAAAAATTTGGAGTGTTAGTAAGTGTTTAAAAGTGTTATGAGAAACCATCCTAACACTTCCATTTGTGATTTTAACACCGCAAATTGAAGTGTTTTGGAGTGCTGGACAATTCCTACCCTTCATACTACCGCTCTACCTCCACCCCTTTCTATTTCGGTACCGACAACCTGGTTGGCCTCGCCGTCACTAGAGTACTCACTCCGGCTACTGTAACCTTGGTTTATTAGTTGGATAGTCCTGATTTCGGCAGTGTGGTCTTGGCTTATGGTTTCCCACTTTCACTACCTGCCACCATGTATAATTGGAGATGCATGTCTTGGCTCATCCATTTTAATTGGTCACTACAAATGTCGTCAGCCACAGGTTTTTATAATTGGAGATTCATATTTTTAAGGAATTGGAGATTCATGAGTTGCCCTTCTTATATAGGTATATGTGTGTGAATCAGGTCTAGGGAGAAGCTTTTGAGAAGCAAATGCATTTCCAGACCTTCGAATTAATATTACTTATAGATTATAGAATTTAAATGAGGACATGATTGTCAATTTCACTGAAACACTTCCGTTATTAACACTTCATTTTTTAACTCTCCCAAACAAGGTAGATTTATATTCAACACTTACACTTCCCTTCCCTTTTGGGCCCCTACCAACACTTACTAACACGTTCATTACTAACACCTTTCAACACTTCATCCAAACAGGCCGTAAGTATTCATTGTAAGATATCCTAATGGTTTTTTATTACGAACCAGAATTTTCAAATTTGCTTAGTTGAATTTAATTTTTTTCACACAATACAAAAAGCTCCATTTTATTTTTCCCATAACAGTTTCATAGAAATGAGTTTATATGAACTTCCCTAGTTTAATTTTCAAGAGACAACCCCAAACCATCTTGGGCACATTGCAGCTCAGATAAAGCTCCTTCACCCCGAATTGCTACAATTCAAATGTAGCAAGCAAATTCAAGATTCTGTTAGGGTTCTGAGACTGAGAATGGGTCCAGGGACGGCTTGGGGTGGCAGGGTGCCCACGTAGGGTCAAAACCTGCTGGCTAGGGTTTCCTCTCTTCTTGCCCATGGCTGGAAGAGTGCAGAGAAGTCAGTGAGTTCTGGAGACTAATTTTCCTATTGATAAATGATGATTATTATACCTCAAAAGAATTATAAATAAGCCTCCTGCCTTTACATGATTATGTCCTATTCTAACTAAAACTCTAAATTAAATATAAAGATATCATCAAACTGGACTCCTCTTCTAATCAACTAAAACCCTAAATAAAATATAAAGATAACATCACACTGGACTCCTCTTCTAATTCACTACAAACAACAAACAAACAACATCCAAGCCTTAATCCCAAAAGAATTTGGGGTCGGCTAACATGAATCGATCAATGATATCGATGCCAAACAGAGAAGATGGACAAGAAAGGAAAAAAAAAAGATAAAACGAATAAAATAAAGATAAATACTCCGTAAAAGAAAACAATAACACAAGAATATAAGAAAGATAAAAGATAAAAAAAAGCATAAAAAAAGCTATATTATAAAAATAACATAAGAATAAACAAAGGTAAGGAATATAAACGATAAAAGAAAAAAAGAGAGGAAAAGTAGAAAAGACATCAGTCGTCCACACGGATGTGCGCCCTCCAATTTGCTCTCTCCAAAGCCATACTCTCATCCAACCCAAGGAGACGCATATCAGTTCTGATTCCTCTAATCCATGTATGTTTGGGTCTTCCCCTCCCTCTCTTTTCTGCCTCTTCTCCCCACCACTCAAGTCGTCTAACAGGTGCATCACTCGGTCTTCTACGCACATGTCCAAACCACCACAAACGGGACTCCTGCATCTTATCTTCTATAGGTGCTTCTCCACACATCCAACGCAACATACGCATCTCTGCCACACTCATCTTTTGAATGTGGCATTGCTTCACTGCCCATCACTCCACGCCATACATTAATGCAGGCCTAATTGTTGTTCGATAAAACTTACCCTTCAGTCTAGTTGGCATACCTCGATCGCATAGAAATCCTGAAGCACTCTTCCATTTCATCCACCCAGCTTTGATTCTATGGCATACATCTCCATCTAATTCACCATCCTTCCGAATTATGGAACCCAAGTAATGAAACACATCACACACCGGTATCTCCTTACCATCAAGAGTAATCCCACTGTTGCTACTACTTCTACCTCCACCAAACTTGCACTCCATATACTCAGTCTTGCTTCGGCTCAGTCTGAAACCCTTGTTCTCCGATGTCTGTCGCCATACTTCCAACTTTGCTTTAACACCGGATTGTGTCTCATCAATCAATACAATATCGTCGGCAAACATCATGCACCATGGTATGTCTTCTTGAATTGATTTCGTAAGTTCATCCATGACTATAGCAAATAAGAAAGGACTCAGAGCAGATCCTTGGTGCACTCTGATAGTAATAGGGGACTCTGCAGTCCTCCCTACACTAGTGCGGACACTTGTAGTACAAGCATCATACATATCCATGATGATACTGATATACTTACGTGATATGCCTTTTCTAGTTAAGGCCCACCACAAGACTTCTTCAGGTACCCTATCATATGCCTTTTCTAAATCAATGAACACCAAATGCAAATCCTTTTTAGTGTCTCTATACTTCTCCATAACTTGTCTAAGAAGGTGAATGGCCTCAGTAGTTGAGCGTCCAAGCATAAAACCAAATTGATTTTCCGAAATTTTCACACTCTTACGAAGTCTTTGCTCAATCACTCGTCCCCAAAGTTTCATGGTGTGGCTCATAAGCTTAATCCCTCGATAGTTAGCACATTCTTGTACATCACCCTTATTTTTAAATAAGGGAATGAGAGTACTCTTCCGCCAACTCACTGACATTTTGTTGTTTCTCCAAATCATGTTGAAGAAACGTGTTAGCCACTCGATGCCTTTCTCTCCCAAACTTCTCCAAGCCTCGATCGGTATGCCATCTGGGCCCACTGCTTTCTTCCTCCCCATTTTTCGCATAGCCTCTTTAACTTCTGTTGTTTGAATCCTTCTCATGAAGTCTCGATTTACCATACACTCCGGTATAGTAAGATCATCAATACCTTGCAGTTTATTCCCGTTGAACAGGGTATCAAAGTAAGACCTCCACCTCTCTTTAATTTCTTTGTCCTCCATTAGTACCCTTTGATCGACATCCTTGACACACATAACTTTTCCGACATCCTGAGTCCTACGATCACGAAGACGAGCAAGTCTGTATATATCTTTTTCTTCTTCTTTAGAGTCCAACTTTACATATAATTCCTTGTTCACTTTTCCTCTGGCTTCCTTCACAACATTCTTTGCTCTTTTTCGAGCCTCCTTGTACTCCTCTATGTTCTCGTTGCTCCAACTTTCGCCCAATTTCTTATAGCATTCCCTTTTGGTCCTTATTGCTTGTTTCACCTCATCATTCCACCAAGACGTGTCCTTTTTTGGTGGCAGACATCCTTTAGATTCTCCGATTATCTCCTTTGCCACTCTGTTAATGGTGGACTCCATTGATAACCACACATCATCCACATGTGCGTCATTATCAATAGACCATACATCTTCCTCCAACATTTTGTGTGCAAAACTCTGTTGAAGATTCCCCTCGAGCCTCCACCATTTTATCTTTGGCTCCCCTTGTACCTTAACTTGTCTCCTCTTTTTACCATGAAAATCTAGCACAAGCATCCTATGCTGAGTGACAGCACTCTCACCTGGGATAACCTTACAATCAGTGTAGCTAGTTCTCAAAGGCGTACGTACTAAAAAGTAGTCAATTTGGGTACTATTAGCTCCACTTCTATAGGTGACAAGGTGTGAGTCTCTTTTCTTGAACCAAGTGTTCATCACAGCCAACTCATATGTCGAGGCAAAATCCAAAATGTTCTTCCCCGCTTCATTTCTAATGCCAAAGCCATGTCCGCCGTGGATACTCTCAAAACCATCACAACTTGGGCCCACATGCCCGTTGAGGTCGCCTCCTATGACCAGCTTCTCTCCCCTTGGCACTCGTGGCACCACTTCCTCAAGATCCTCCCAAAATTGTTGAGTGATAGATGCATCCAATCCCACTTGTGGTGCATAGGCACTTACCACGGACACGATCTCATCTCCTATGATCAACTTAATGCTCATGATGCGATCGTTCTTCCTAAAGACTTCAACCACACCCTCAACATAATCATGTGCCACCATAATGCCTACTCCATTTCTGTTCCTCTCTCTCCCCGAGTACCACAGCTTAAAACCTCCGGGATTAATCTCACGTGCCTTTTCTCCAACCCACTTAGTTTCTTGCATGCACATTATGCTGATATTCCTCCTCTTCATAACCTCAGCTATCTCAGATGATCTTCCCGTAAGAGAGCCAACATTCCATGTCCCAAAACGCAATTTAACACCATGCCTTCTCTTCTTCACACCACGTCGACCCCCACCATGCCCTTGCATATTTGACACCATCCCCGGGCATTGGAGTGGCGTGTTGCTTCCGGGCGACGACCTAGCAGCCTTAGAATTCTTATCACCACACCCAGGCCTAGGAAGTGTAGCGCGCCCTAGCTCATTTGACACCACCCCCAGGCGGAGGGATGACGCGTCGCTTACGGGCGACGACCTAGCTGTAGCGATATTCATATTTCGATTCATGTCATGTGATGTGACTAAGTGATACTGTTGGCCGTCACGCGTCTACCATAGCACCCTCCTCCTTTATCTTGGCTTGGGACAGGCATGATACCAAAAAAATGATCTCATGGCGGAGTTCCCTCTTCTAATTAACTAAACCCCTAAAAATGCATCCGTAACATATTCAAGCATAGAATAAACGTTTATATGTTAGGCTACGAAATTATATAAGAAAGGGATATATAAGAAAGGCTACCATAAAGAACCACAGATACATTGTGCAAGTCAATGTGTTCCTGAAGCATATATAAGAAAGGGATAGAAAGACTTACGAGAGACAAGGGTACGTTTTCCAACGTCAGGAGATCCAACAAGGAGGACTCCTGGCCGTTTCTCCAGTGATGTAGTGTCCTGTGGCATTGCTTCTTTCAGATCCATTTCTTCCTGTAGCTGAAACCAATTCACTCTACTCTCTTCCTTTCTGCTTATCTGAGTGCGTATGAAGCACCAAACCCCACTAAAAGAAGATGAAGAATACAATGAGTCACAATAAATTAGACGGGCAGAACCTTAAGGAACGATGCCATTGCCAACCGTCTTAATTCCCAATCATTTGGGAAGCAGTAAACCAACACATAGGACCTAAATTTGCTCTAACCTATAAAAGAAGATACTAATTATAAAAGGGAAAACTGTCAAATAGGTCCTCGAACTTTCATAAAAATGTCAATTAAGTTCTTCTATTGGAGGTTCTGTCCGGCCGTCGCGATTGGGGCAGTCCCGGTGGAATTTTTTGATGAACTTTTTTGAGAATCTTATTCACCAAGTCTAGTTTACTCATACCAAATTTCAGCAAAAAATTCAATCGGGAACACATTCAAATTAATTCTTGAAGATAACTGCGCATTTTTGCGTTCTCGAATTAATTTGAATGCGCTCCCGATTAAATTTTTAGCTGAAATTTGGTATGAGTATACTAGACTTGAATAATAAGATGCTCAAAAAATTTCATCAAAAAACTCCACCGGGAACCGCCCCAAATCGCGATAACCGGACAGAGTCTCCTATAGAAGGACTTAATTGACTTTTTTATGAAAGTTCGAGAACCTATTTGACAGTTTTCCCATTATAAAATCAACAAACTCCAACAATCATGCTTTACTTTTCTTTTGTAGCTTCCTCAATGATTATGTTTTATATTTTTAATGAATATGCATCTTATTCAACAACTAATTAATATATTGGAACGCTACAGAATTTTTTAGATTTCCACTTTTAGCAAATAACTTTCAATTTTAAATCTAAGACAACACTTGAAGAATAAAATACAACAGCTAGTTAACATTTATAGGCCTAGACTAATTTGATAGAGGAAAGAGTAATTATGCACAAAATCTCCTTATTAATACACATCGCCTAATTGAATCTAGGAAATCAGATTATTATAAAAACCAATCTTATAATCATCATCATCATCATCATTTACCCCAGTGCCGCAAAGGCTCCCACCAATGGTGGGGTAAGGGGGGGTCGGATGTACGCAGTCTTACCCCTATCCTAAAGCAAAGAGAGACTGTTTCTGGATGACCCATAATGAAAATCGCGTCCAAAATTGCATGGACTGACTGCTGCTTCATAACAAAAAGGCGCAGACAGTTTAGCGAGTCATTTTGCTTTATTCCATCATATTCTCAAGCCAAAAAATAGTGAATCTTTTGCTCCATTGCTTATAATGATTAACTAAAAAAAATTTATCTCTCCACTCCCCCTCAATATCAATGGCAGATCTAGCACTTGCAATTTGGGTGTTCGAAATCACTTTAAAGCTAAGATTAAGAAAAGTGATATTGTGTGATGCAATAACTCTACAAATGTACATTTGTCAACATAAAAATACTACATTGAATAAAAAGTAAGACATTTTGTATTACTAAGATATAAGAAAATTACTACAGAAACTGATTATTCCTAGTGAAAATGGTTTTCTGAAAATAATATAAAATGTCGTCATTACTAAGAGTCATAAATGAAGCAAACGTTAGACAAAACACCAATAAAAATTAAAGAAGCCTAAACATGAGAACAATGGATATCATTCAAAATATACTTTAATCTGAAAACATTCAAACTAAAATCAATGAAATCAACTAAAATATACCAAAAAACTAATTGATAAATAAACTGACCTTATAAATTGACTAATATCAGATTATTTAGTACCCTTATAAATCCATCTCCTAAGTATGTGTTCTTGACCTTTTACGCCTTACTATCGAGTTATCTATTGCATTTTCGGTACTGCTGGGAAATTGAACTAAAGACATTGCAAACGAAAATTCAATTTATTAAAACAGGCATGACAGACACAAAGGAGACGGACAGAGATGAAAACACAAGAAAGCTAAATAACAGTTCAAAAAAATAATTGAAGAATGAACTGACCGGAGCAGTTCACGGCGGGCCGGATCCGGAGCAGTCCACGACGAGCCGAAGCAGTCGACGGCGGGCCGGAGCAGTCCACGGCGAGCCGGAGCAGTCCTCGGCGAGCCAGAGCCGTCAACGGCGTTCCACAGATTTTGCAGCCGAAAGACCAGGGCCGGAGAAGAAGACGACGACGGCAAGCGTACGGCGGCAGAAATGCAGCAGCTTCAGCGGCAGCAGAGGCACGGACACCCGGCGGCGGTAGCAGATTTCCTCTGGTTGGTGCGGCTGCTATCGAACGTTGAAGCTTAAGCTAGGGATTTGGTCATCAAATCCGCGCCTGGCCTGGTGTCGATCGAATAGGTTAGGGTTAATATTAGAGGCGCTGCTTAAAGAAAAGCGCCGCACGCATCGAACAGCGTTTCTGTACGATTTTAAAAAAAAATCGGAAATTAATGGAGGCGTTTTTGCCTATAAGCGCCGCACGCTTTCGAAAAAAAATAAAATAAAAAAATAACCGCCTTATTGAGGCGCTTGTACTGAAAAACGACTCAAACGAAGCGCCTCTATTTGACGTTTTTACACTAGTGAATATAAAAAAGGAAAAATGATTTTGCACCAAGTACCCTATATCCTAATTCGTGCCTACTAAAAATCTTTAGGCCCAACACTAAAGTTTTCTTTCACCTGCTGACTCTATTGAAATTCCTACATCGCTAACTTTAAAATATAATAAGTGAATTCAAGAAATGTGTGAATATATGTGTGTAATATAAATAAATAAATAGTGTGAGATGGTTGTACAATCAAATCACAAAAAGACATTGGGCTAAAGGTGGGACATATACGATGAAATACTGATATGATGCTACACTTGACATGTATAAGGCGAAATTATTAGCAAGGGGTTCACCCAAACTTATGAGATTGATTATCAAGATATATTTGCCCCTTCAGCAAAAATGAATACAATAAGGATCATTTTATCCTTAATAGCACACTTTGATTGTGAGTTATGACAATTCAATGTAAAAACACTTCCTACATGGAGATTTAGAAGAAGGGGTATACAAGGAGATCTCTCAAGGTATGCCCCTATTTCAAGGAGATATATGGTTTCCAAATCGAACAAGCCCCTAAATGGGATCAAACAACCACTTAAGCATAGGTTGAGAGGTTTGCACATGTCATGGTATCACTGGGGTATAAACAAAGTCAAGGTTATTATGACTATGTTTGACATAACAAGTTGGAACCGGAGACTAATGTTTGAATTAGAGATAATTGTCTGAAACAAGTACTATTATTTAGATTTAAATTTTGAAGTGATGAATCTTAATTGTTAGTTGAAATTGTCCGCCGAACATAGCCTATACCTTCCTTATAAAATACAATAAAAATAGACGATTCACTCTTCGATCAATTAGTCTATGTTGACGATAAGACGAGTTTAGATAATGAAAATTTAAAAAACATAATTTGAGAAAAGGATTTAGCAGTTCAATTTGAAATGAAATACCTTGGAAATAGACTAATCAAAAGACATTTGTTAAACTATCTCTACAACTAATTGCAAGTAGGATTTGGGCAAAAATACCGAACCGACATGGTACCGAACCGAACCGGTATGGTACCGGACATAAAAACGGGGTTTGAAACGGATCTCAATTTTTTTGTCCCGAACCGGACCGTACCGATTCTAAACAATGGCATGATCGGTTCTCATAAAATGAGAACCGGTACTGGACAGAGGTATGGTTTAATTATTTATATTTTCATTTGTACCATTAATTTGACTAGTGCCTTCACACTTTCACCGCCTTTGTCAGTTCATAGGAAACCTGGAATCAGGCCGATGTATGATTTAATTATTTAAATTTGTATTACTATAATTTACCTGAAATTTATTAATTATGTAATACTACATTTGTAAAATTGATTTGCAAAATTAATTTTTCTTGATCAAACAGTTTAATTTTATTGACATAATTGGGATGTCAATTCTTTATTATATTTAATCTGGATTTTGCGACTTTAAAGAGATTTTAATGTAATTCTGAATATATAAATTTTAATTGTTAAAAATTGAATCAATTATCAATATAAAGAGAATTTAACTTTAACATTGGTCACAAAAAATATTGACTTTGAATATCAATTTCCTCTTAAACACTTGAAAAAATTGCATACCGTCTCGTTTGAAAATAGAACCGTAACGAACGGGTTTAAGTCTAAGATCGAATTAAAGTGAACTGAATCCTTTGAATAGTCACGGTAGGGGTTCAGCCAAATATTTGACCTGCGCCCATGGTTGAGGGGCAAGGGCCGGTCTGGCGTCGTTCAAATTTTGGTTAGTTAAAAAGAAGTTGTTCTCTCAGATAGTCAGATTCTCAGAGCCACAAGTCCCACAACCACCAACTGTCCAGTCCGACAGTCCTCCACCTCGCGAGTTCAGTCACCGTCGCCCGCCGTTGTACCAGCCTCCAGACTCGCGAGTTTCAATCGGTAGTCAGCCCCAGAATTCACAGCTAACTGATCCACCTGTCCACCAGACACTAGTCCACCGCCTCCACGCCTCCACAGCAGCACAGCTCCACTCCTGGTTAGCTTTCTCATACACAAACTACAAATTTACAACCCAATCTTCTAAATCTAATGTGAAATTAATAGATTCATTTCCCAATTCCCACTGCTTGCCTTGCAGCTAAATGAAAATTGAAATTGAGAAAAAAAATGAGAGATGTTGTGCGGTTTAGTGGATTGGTCGGATTCTAATATTCTATACGAATTGGATCTCTTAATGTCGGCAATATAATTTTTCTCAATTTTGTTCAATTTATTGATGTTTTGTCTAACGTTTGCTTAGTTTATGACTCTTAGTAATGACGACATTTTATATTATTTTCAGAAAACCATTTTCACTAGGAATAATCAGTTGCTGTAGTAATTTTCTTATATCTTAGTAATACAAAATGTCTTACTTTTTATTCAATGTAGTATTTTTTTGTTGACAAATGTACATTTGTAGAGTTATTGCATCACACAATATCACTTTTCTTAATCTTAGCTTTAAAGTGATTTCGAACACCCAAATTGCAAGTGCTAGATCTGCCATTGATATTGAGGGGGAGTGGAGAGATACAATTTTTTTAGTTGATCGTTATAAGCAATGGAGCCAAAGATTCACTATTTTTTGGCTTGAGAATATGGTGGAATAAATCAAAATGGCTCACTAAACTGTCTGCGCCTTTTTGTTATGAAGCAGCAGTCAGTCCATGCAATTTTGGACGCGATTTTCACTATGGGTCATCCAGAAACAGTCTCTCTTTGCTTTAGGATAGAGGTAAGACTGCGTACATCCGACCCCCCCTTACCCCACCATTGGTGGGAGCCTTTGCGGCACTGGGGTAAATGATGATGATGATGATGATTATAAGATTGGTTTTTATAATAATCTGATTTCCTAGATTCAATTAGGCGATGTGTATTAATAAGGAGATTTTGTGCATAATTACTCTTTCCTCTATCAAATTAGTCCAGGCCTATAAATGTTAACTAGCTGTTGTATTTTATTCTTCAATTGTTGTCTTAGATTTAAAATTGAAAGTTATTTGCTAGAAGTGGAAATCTAAAAAATTCTGTAGCGTTCCAATATATTAATTAGTTGTTGAATAAGATGCATATTCATTAAAAATATAAAACATAATCATTGAGGAAGCTAAAAAAGAAAAGTAAAGCATGAATGTTGGAGGTTTGTTGATTTTATAATGGGAAAACTGTCAAATAGGTTCTCGAACTTTCATAAAAAAGTCAATTAAGTCCTTCTATAGGAGACTCTGTCCGGTTATCGCGATTTGGGGCGGTTCCCGGTGGAGTTTTTTGATGAAATTTTTTGAGCATCTTATTATTCAAGTCTAGTATACTCATACCAAATTTCAGCTAAAAATTTAATCGGGAGCGCATTCAAATTAATTCGAGAACGCAAACATGCGCAGTTATCTTCAAGAATTAATTTGAATGTGTTCCCGATTGAATTTTTTGCTGAAATTTGGTATGAGTAAAATAGACTTGGTGAATAAGATTCTCAAAAAAGTTCATCAAAAAATTCCACCGGGAACTGCCCCAATCGCGATGGCCGGACAGAACCTCCAATAGAAGGACTTAATTGACATTTTTATGAAAGTTCGAGGACCTATTTGACAGTTTTCCCTTTTATAATTAGTATCTTCTTTTATAGGTTAGAGCAAATTTAGGTCCTATGTGTTTGTTTACTGCTTCCCAAATGATTGGGAATTAAGACGGTTGGCAATGGCATCGTTCCTTAAGGTTCTGCCTTTCTAATTTATTGTGACTCATTGTATTCTTCATCATCTTCTTTTAGTGGGGTTTGGTGCCTCATACGCACACAGATAAGCAGGAAGGAAGAGAGTAGAGTTAATTGGTTTCAGCTATAGGAAGAAATGGATCTGAAAGAAGCAATGCCACAGGACACTACATCACTGGAGAAACGGCCAGGAGTCCTCCTTGTTGGATCTCCTGACGTTGGAAAACGTACCCTTGTCTCTCGTAAGTCTTTCTATCCCTTTCTTATATATGCTTCAGGAACACATTGACTTGCACAATGTATCTGTGGTTCTTTATGGTAGCCTTTCTTATATATCCCTTTCTTATATAATTTCGTAGCCTAACATATAAACGTTTATTCTATGCTTGAATATGTTACGGATGCATTTTTAGGGGTTTAGTTAATTAGAAGAGGGAACTCCGCCATGAGATCATTTTTTTGGTATCATGCCTGTCCCAAGCCAGGATAAAGGAGGAGGGTGTTGTGGTAGGCGCGTGACGGCCAACAGTATCACTTAGTCACATCACATGACATGAATCGAAATATGAATATCACTACAGCTAGGTCGTCGCCCGTAAGCGACGCGTCATCCCTCCGCCTGGGGGTGGTGTCAAATGAGCTAGGGCGCGCTACACTTCCTAGGCCTGGGTGTGGTGATAAGAATGCTAAGGCTGCTAAGTCGTCGCCCGGAAGCGACGCGCCACTCCAATGCCTGGGGATGGTGTCAAATATGCAAGGGCATGGTGGGGGTTGACGTGGTGTGAAGAAGAGAAGGCATGGTGTTAAATTGCGTTTTGGGACATGGAATGTTGGCTCTCTTACGAGAAGATCATCTGAGATAGCTGAGGTTATGAAGAGGAGGAATATCAGCATAATGTGCATGCAAGAAACTAAGTGGGTTGGAGAAAAGGCACGTGAGATTAATCCCGGAGGTTTTAAGCTGTGGTACTCGGGGAGAGAGAGGAACAGAAATGGAGTAGGCATTATGGTGGCACATGATTATGTTGAGGGTGTGGTTGAAGTCTTTAGGAAGAACGATCGCATCATGAGCATTAAGTTGATCATAGGAGATGAGATCGTGTCCGTGGTAAGTGCCTATGCACCACAAGTGGGATTGGATGCATCTATCACTCAACAATTTTGGGAGGATCTTGAGGAAGTGGTGCCACGAGTGCCAAGGGGAGAGAAGCTGGTCATAGGAGGCGACCTCAACGGGCATGTGGGCCCAAGTTGTGATGGTTTTGAGAGTATCCACGGCGGACATGGCTTTGGCATTAGAAATGAAGCGGGGAAGAACATTTTGGATTTTGCCTCGACATATGAGTTGGCTGTGATGAACACTTGGTTCAAGAAAAGAGACTCACACCTTGTCACCTATAGAAGTGGAGCTAATAGTACCCAAATTGACTACTTTTTAGTACGTACGCCTTTGAGAACTAGCTACACTGATTGTAAGGTTATCCCAGGTGAGAGTGCTGTCACTCAGCATAGGATGCTTGTGCTAGATTTTCATGGTAAAAAGAGGAGACAAGTTAAGGTACAAGGGGAGCCAAAGATAAAATGGTGGAGGCTCGAGGGGAATCTTCAACAGAGTTTTGCACACAAAATGTTGGAGGAAGATGTATGGTCTATTGATAATGACGCACATGTGGATGATGTGTGGTTATCAATGGAGTCCACCATTAACAGAGTGGCAAAGGAGATAATCGGAGAATCTAAAGGATGTCTGCCACCAAAAAAGGACACGTCTTGGTGGAATGATGAGGTGAAACAAGCAATAAGGACCAAAAGGGAATGCTATAAGAAATTGGGCGAAAGTTGGAGCAACGAGAACATAGAGGAGTACAAGGAGGCTCGAAAAAGAGCAAAGAATGTTGTGAAGGAAGCCAGAGGAAAAGTGAACAAGGAATTATATGTAAAGTTGGACTCTAAAGAAGAAGAAAAAGATATATACAGACTTGCTCGTCTTCGTGATCGTAGGACTCAGGATGTCGGAAAAGTTATGTGTGTCAAGGATGTCGATCAAAGGGTACTAATGGAGGACAAAGAAATTAAAGAGAGGTGGAGGTCTTACTTTGATACCCTGTTCAACGGGAATAAACTGCAAGGTATTGATGATCTTACTATACCGGAGTGTATGGTAAATCGAGACTTCATGAGAAGGATTCAAACAACAGAAGTTAAAGAGGCTATGCGAAAAATGGGGAGGAAGAAAGCAGTGGGCCCAGATGGCATACCGATCGAGGCTTGGAGAAGTTTGGGAGAGAAAGGCATCGAGTGGCTAACACGTTTCTTCAACATGATTTGGAGAAACAACAAAATGTCAGTGAGTTGGCGGAAGAGTACTCTCATTCCCTTATTTAAAAATAAGGGTGATGTACAAGAATGTGCTAACTATCGAGGGATTAAGCTTATGAGCCACACCATGAAACTTTGGGGACGAGTGATTGAGCAAAGACTTCGTAAGAGTGTGAAAATTTCGGAAAATCAATTTGGTTTTATGCTTGGACGCTCAACTACTGAGGCCATTCACCTTCTTAGACAAGTTATGGAGAAGTATAGAGACACTAAAAAGGATTTGCATTTGGTGTTCATTGATTTAGAAAAGGCATATGATAGGGTACCTGAAGAAGTCTTGTGGTGGGCCTTAACTAGAAAAGGCATATCACGTAAGTATATCAGTATCATCATGGATATGTATGATGCTTGTACTACAAGTGTCCGCACTAGTGTAGGGAGGACTGCAGAGTCCCCTATTACTATCAGAGTGCACCAAGGATCTGCTCTGAGTCCTTTCTTATTTGCTATAGTCATGGATGAACTTACGAAATCAATTCAAGAAGACATACCATGGTGCATGATGTTTGCCGACGATATTGTATTGATTGATGAGACACAATCCGGTGTTAAAGCAAAGTTGGAAGTATGGCGACAGACATCGGAGAACAAGGGTTTCAGACTGAGCCGAAGCAAGACTGAGTATATGGAGTGCAAGTTTGGTGGAGGTAGAAGTAGTAGCAACAGTGGGATTACTCTTGATGGTAAGGAGATACCGGTGTGTGATGTGTTTCGTTACTTGGGTTCCATAATTCGGAAGGATGGTGAATTAGATGGAGATGTATGCCATAGAATCAAAGCTGGGTGGATGAAATGGAAGAGTGCTTCAGGATTTCTATGCGATCGAGGTATGCCAACTAGACTGAAGGGTAAGTTTTATCGAACAGCAATTAGGTTTGCATTAATGTATGGCGTGGAGTGTTGGGCAGTGAAGCAATGCCACATTCAAAAGATGAGTGTGGCAGAGATGCGTATGTTGCGTTGGATGTGTGTACATACCAGAAAAGACCGTTTGAGGAATGAGATAATCAGACAAAAGGTGGGAGTAGCACCTATAGAAGATAAGATGCAGGAGTCCCGTTTGCGTTGGTTTGGACATGTGCGTAGAAGACCGAGTGATGCACCTGTTAGACGACTTGAGTGGTGGGGAGAAGAGGCAGAGAAGAGAGGGAGGGGAAGACCCAAACATACATGGATTAGAGGAATCAGAACTGATATGCGTCTCCTTGGGTTGGATGAGAGTATGGCTTTGGAGAGAGCAAATTGGAGGGCGCACATCCGTGTGGACGACTGATGTCTTTTCTACTTTTCCTCTCTTTTTTTCTTTTATCGTTTATATTCCTTACCTTTGTTTATTCTTATGTTATTTTTATAATATATCTTTTTTTATGCTTTTTTTTATCTTTTATCTTTCTTATATTCTTGTGTTATTGTTTTCTTTTACGGAGTATTTATCTTTATTTTATTCGTTTTATCTTTTTTTTTTCCTTTCTTGTCCATCTTCTCTGTTTGGCATCGATATCATTGATCGATTCATGTTAGTCGACCCCAAATTCTTTTGGGATTAAGGCTTGGATGTTGTTTGTTTGTTGTTTGTAGTGAATTAGAAGAGGAGTCCAGTGTGATGTTATCTTTATATTTTATTTAGGGTTTTAGTTGATTAGAAGAGGAGTCCAGATTGATGTTATCTTTATATTTAATTTAGAGTTTTAGTTAGAATAGGACATAATCATGTAAAGGCAGGAGGCTTATTTATAATTCTTTTGAGGTATAATAATCATCATTGATCAATAGGAAAATTAGTCTCCAGAACTCACGGACTTCTCTGCACTCTTCCAGCCATGGGCAAGAAGAGAGGAAACCCTATCCAGCAGGTTTTGACCCTACGTGGGCACCCTGCCACCCCAAGCCGTTCCTGGACCCATTCTCAGTCTCAGAACCCTAACAGAATCTTGAATTTGCTTGCTACATTTGAATTGTAGCAATTCGGGGTGAAGGAGCTTTATCTGAGCTGCAATGTGCCCAAGATGGTTTGGGGTTGTCTCTTGAAAATTAAACTAGGGAAGTTCATATAAACTCATTTCTATGAAACTGTTATGGGAAAAATAAAATGGAGCTTTTTGTATTGTGTGAAAAAAATTAAATTCAACTAAGCAAATTTGAAAATTCTGGTTCGTAATAAAAAACCATTAGGATATCTTACAATGAATACTTACGGCCTGTTTGGATGAAGTGTTGAAAGGTGTTAGTAATGAACGTGTTAGTAAGTGTTGGTAGGGGCCCAGAAGGGAAGGGAAGTGTAAGTGTTGAATATAACTCTACCTTGTTTGGGAGAGTTAAAAAATGAACTGTTAATAACGGAAGTGTTTTCAGTTAAATTGACAATCATGTCCTCATTTAAATTCTATAATCTATAAGTAATATTAATTCGAAGGTCTGGAAATGCATTTGCTTCTCAAAAGCTTCTCCCTAGACCTGATTCGCACACATATACCTATATAAGAAGGGCAACTCATGAATCTCCAATTCCTTAAAAATATGAATCTCCAATTATAAAAACCTGTGGCTGACGACATGTGTAGTGACCAATTAAAATGGATGAGCCAAGACATGCATCTCCAATTATACATGGTGGCAGGTAGTGAAAGTGGGAAACCATAAGCCAAGACCACACTGCCGAAATCAGGACAATCCAACTAATAAACCAAGGCTACAGTAGCCGGAGTGAGTACTCTAGTGACGGCGAGGCCAACCAGGTTGTCGGTACCGAAATAGAAAGGGGTGGAGGTAGAGCGGTAGTATGAAGGGTAGGAATTGTCCAGCACTCCAAAACACTTCAATTTGCGGTGTTAAAATCACAAATGGAAGTGTTAGGATGGTTTCTCATAACACTTTTAAACACTTACTAACACTCCAAATTTTTAAAAAAATCTCCCAAACAAGTGTCAAGGCCAACACTTCTCAACACTTCCATTACTAACACCTCTTAACACTCCATCCGAACAGGCCATAAAGTCCCCCATCTAGGGTTCTTTGTGTCATAAAAAATAATTTCCCTACCAGGAGACCTGCCTAGCACGGCACAATAATCTCATCTTCTCCATGGAAAACAATCCTTTTTTGAGAAGAATGATGTAAACAAACACCCACTACCTCTGAAGTAAGACTTTATTGCACGTAGCCACGTAACACCCTTGATTTACTACCTCTGTCTCATTTTATGTGTCCCATGTTGGTTTGGCACAATTATCAATAAAGTGGTTGAAAAAAGAAAAGTTATGGTTGAAATTTGAGTATAATAGCATGAAATGCTGTAGACTACATGTTTCTTTCCAAAAAAAGAATTGACACTTATTTTGGTACAACCTAAAAAGGAAAGTAAGACATGTAAAATGGGACGGATGGAGTAACTGTTATCCACTTATCACTTAAGTGACTTGACCCTTTTTGCCCCCATCTCTCCACTCCAAATTTCATTCACCTACCTCAAATTCATTCAAGAAGGGACTTGGTTCATCATTAGTTCTACTTGTATCACATAAGAACCATAGCATACAAGTGCACAATAATTTATTATACATTGGTGGAAATGTACACTAATACCTATTTCCAGTATTGAGTATAAGTTGTATGGAACTTTGAACTTCATTCACGTGATTATAAAATTATAAGCTATAACTGACAAGTTAACTCTTAAGATTGTACTCCCATATTCTCATCAAGTGCTCCTAAAAATATTACCATCACGCATATCTTAATTAGCATTTAATGCGTTTCCAGAAATCGAAACTTTGTAAAGAGTAGTTTCTTTGCTATATCATGTTCATTGTTAGTGTTTTTATATCGTAGTGAGGAGGATATTTATCTCATGAGAACCATTTTTCAACTTCTTAATGTATGATGTGTAGGGTTGCTCTCCATAGATCTGGAAGACACTACTGATACAACATCTGGGTTGCTTGCGTTTGGGTAAGTTGACGATAGTTTGCTCTTTATACGGTGACTCTTGTTTAGCCACCTCCCTCCCCAATATAAAAAGAATGGCTTTGGGTTACCTTCAGGTGGTCAATCAACACAAAATACTACACTGCTGATGTTACTGTTTGGTTGGCCAATCTCCATAAAAAGTTTTCAGCCCGGTCTCTTCCAATATTTGATCAGTTGGCTGCGTTGGTGATGGTTTTTGATATAAGTAATGTTAGTCTCACCCTTTCTGTTTGTATTATCAAACTCGAGTAAACCTTCCTCTTATGAACCTATGACTCTTCAGTGTTCATCTGCAGGTTTCATCTTTTATTGAACTTAAAGATTGGGTGTCTCACACGGATATTCAGAAGTTTGATATTTTGTTATGCATTGGCAACAAAGTGGATCTTCTTCCTGGTCATTCAGGTCACGTTGAGTATAGACGCCGGCTGCTGAAATATGCAGAATCTTCTGGTAGTTCATACACTGAAATATTTAACTCTGTCATTGCTGAGACAGAAGGGAGTAATCTATTGGGAGGTGAAGATGAATCCTCACTGGGGATTAAGAAAGCCTGCATGGAATGGTGCAGTGAACACAACATTGAATGTGTTGAAGCATGTGCATCGAATATTGATTTTGACAAGTGTAAGGCTGTAGCTTTATATTATGTTGTGCACTACTACTGCTTATATTCCTTTGCTCTTATTTTCATGCCCACACGCATGCATACATATGCAACAGCTCCAAAACCCTCCATCTGACCCTTTTAAAAACCCATCACCTATACAAGATTGAAACATACTCTCGAGTAAGCAGAATTGATAAAGGGTCCACGTAAGGACTAAGGGTATTATGGTAGAACACTGAGTGGGGAGTGGGGTAACATGCTCAAAGGTAGAACACGCACACACACACACATAATGAGTGATAGTGAAGAATGGCTTGTTCCAAAAAAAATTCTTCTTATTTTGACTTAGCATTGTTATTCGAGCCAAGTTGAGTCTGAGCACCACATTTTTTACCTCAACTCGGACCTATTCGAGATTCGATTGAGCTCTGCAAGTTGGTATTTCGAGCTGAGATCCAATCTTGATCTTGATTCGTTTCAAGCTCTCTCATAGAGTCAGCCTGACAACCCACATGTAATTTTGTAGTATTAACATTCGTGTCACAATAGTTCAGGTTAAGTGATTATTATACGGTTAAATGACCTGAGGTGAAGCCTTAGCGAGCCAAATTGAGCTGGAGACATGCTCATTGCCTCATTTGTATAAGCTCTAGGATCTCACACATAAGCAATACAAACCGCTGAAATGTTCATTTTACCCCAAAGTCACATTGGTGAATGCAATTTTGGGGCCACCTGGACTGCTGCTTTGTTCATATATAGGTGTACTTTGGTAAAAGATAATGAGATGTTTTGAAATGCACGTGTAATGTACATTTGCAGGTTTATCTGTTGATGGTGATTCTCAGGGTGTCGAGCGACTTGAAGGGGCACTATCTGCATATATGTGGCCTGGAATGGTACTAAAGTCTGGTGATAAAATATATGAACCTTCATTACCCCAAGATCAAGGTTTCATTATCTTCGAGCGTCTTTGATTTGCTATCAATATTTCATCTTCATATCATTAAGGGAGAACTATCAAATAAGCCCTCGAACTTTCTTAAAAAGTGCAAATAAGCCCTTTTACAGGAGGCTTTGTCCGACTGTCGCCATTTGGGGTGCTTTCCGGTGGAATTTTTTGATGAAATTTTTTGAGAATCTTCTTCATTAAGTCTAGTTTAACCAAACTAAATTTCACCTAAAAAATCAATCGAGAAGGCAATCAAATGATTTTCTGAAATATACTGTGCTGCCTAACTACGCAGTTATCTTCAAAAATTCGTTTGGCTGCCTTACAGATTGAATTTTTATCTGAAATTTGGTATGAGTAAACTAGACTCAATGAGAAAGATTCTCAAAAACTTTCATCAAAAAAATCCATCGGAAACCGCCCCAAATGGCGACGGCCGAGCAGAGTCTCCTATAAAAGGGCTTATTTGCACTTTTTTATGAAAGTTCGAGGGCTCATTTGATAGTTCTCCCTATCATTAACCTTTGTTTGGGGTGAAGAGAGAATTATATAAGTATGTGAATTGTGAAAAGATTGGAGTAAAAGGTTGTAAAAAATGTGAGTTTTATGTATCATTTAGTACTACATGTACAAGAGAAACAATGACGAGAGAAACGAAAGATGTAAATGCAAATGCTAACATTGACAAGCCAATATCCCCTTAATCTTCCTGCGCTTTTCTTTGGTCACATGGAGAGATAGAGAAAGGGCAACAATAGACTACCTGTCTAATTTTATTTTACTTATGGCTTTGAAGTTAGATATACAAAACAAAGTTTTATATGTAAAAATAAGAATAGCTATTGTAGTTGCAATTTGCAAAGTAGCACTGCTGGCTGTGCTGCGATTTCTACTATCTTCTGTAGAAGAGATGTTGGTGCTTGATATTAACTCCAGCCATTGGAGGTGGTGTTAGGCTGTAGCAGCTGTTGTTAGCGGTGGTGTTAGGCAGTAGCAGCAGTCGTCAGAAATGGCAGCGGTGGAGAGTGCTACACTGCTACCCTCGTACACGCAATTGTCACAGTGACTAATGTAGTACTGTCAAAGTGTTATTGGCTCACTTTTCTCCGTATTTGTATATAAATTTTGAGGGTAGGATGTTGTATTTATAAAGTTAGTTAGGTTAGGGTTATAATTTTCTCATAATAATTTTTTTAAGGCCCCCAACTATTATCTTTTCTTTCTTATATTCTTCCATCCCCAAACAAAGGATATTGGTTCTTTCTTCTCTCTTTCTGTCTCGTCTTTTTCTCTTCGCTCTAATTCTATATTGATGAAACAAACGAACCATTAGCGCTTTTGTTACCACTACGCAGACGTGTCAGATGAAGAATCTGAATATGAACTGGAATATGAAATCCTATCCGCTGGTTCTGAGGATCCATGGGACGATACAGTTGAAGGCTGGGTATCTGCAGATGGTCCCGTTGCAACCACATAATCTAGCAAACAAAAGGAGAGTGGTTGTGAAGACAGCAATAGCAGTGAAATGAATCTCATCATTGGAGACAACGAGCTTCCAAAACCAGAACAATCTCACCGGCCGGGAAAAGATGAAACTAATAACGGCACAACAACATACAAATTTGAGGATTTGGAGCAGCTAATGGGTGAGATAGGGAACATGCGGGATAGTTTGAGGTTGATGCCGGATTTTCAGAGGAGGGAGATGGCGGCAAATCTGGCCATGAAAATGGCATCCATGTTTGGGGATAGCAGTGGAGATGAAGAAGGGTTGGACTGATTTAGACTGTTCTTGTACACATTTGTTATTTAATAATGTATGTAGTACTAAAAATCTCATCTATACACCATCATTGAACTTATGTTGATTTTATTTGTTACTCCCCAAGTCCCTATTATGTGTTTTTTTGTTTTATTTTTTCACTTTCCTGTGCCACTTACTATGTTTAATAGGTGTATCAAGGAGACTGATACTATGACTAATGACGTTATGACGGTGTCTGTGGTTAATGTCCGAATTAGTTGGAGTTGTCATTAAATTTTTTTATTAGGTTTTGGTCTATGTTGTAAAAAGTCTAAAAATATGGTTGTGAAGTGTAAAGTGACCGAAAATAATGTATTTTGCAATGCGAAATGTAGTTTTAAAGTAAAAAATTAACTACAATTTTTTACAAGCAGTTTACAGTAATGGGTAGGAGTTGAGATGCTGGAACACTGTTTTTTTTCCCACTTTGCTTCTCAAATCGTCAACACACCTCAGCTGAGTAGCCGATCATCCAACTGAGGTTGAAGTTATACTCCGTAGTAGGCTTGGATTCGGTTCGGGCCATCTAGCCCGTGACCCGGCCCGGCCCGCTACTGTGCGGGCCCGGGACCGGCCCGCTACTGTGCGGGCCCGGGACCGGCCCGATCTAGCGGTCCGGGACCGGGTGTAGACCCGAACCGGGGGGGGGGGGGGGGGGGGAGGCGGGGTGGGCTCGGTTTAGGCAAAGGGTGACCCAACCCGGCTGTGTCGGGCCCGGGTCCGGTCCAACGGTCAAATGCTCAAAAAAAATTGGGTTTGGGCCACAACTAGCCGTTGGGGAGTGAGCTGGCGACTACCCAGATGGCTATATAGCCGTTGGGTGGGCTGGAAGGGGGGGTCAGGGCGGTCTGGGGGGGGGTTGGGGTGGGGTAAAAAAAAACTACAAATATTCCTAATCTTAAACAGTTTTCCATATCTCTTCTCCAAAATCTTAGTCTCTACTCTTTAATTATCTTCATCTTCTCAAATTCTCTTATTCTTCAATATATTATATATCTACTTATATTATTTATGTACTTAGAAATACATATATTATAATTTATATTACTTATATTTCTTATCTACCTATATAGTTATATATTAATTAACTATTTATAAATACATATATTATATTACTTATATTTGTTATCTACTTAATCTCTACTTATTATCTACTTATATCTACTAAATACATACATATTACAATTTATATCTACTTAGTTAGAATTGTTAGAATTTTATTTCATTAGTTCGAATTGTTTTTATAAATTAATATTTGTTACATTTTTAAGATGGAAGGTAGTAGATATTCGGTTGATATCGGTAACCTCGAGCACAACCGAACGAACGAGCTTGCGAGAAAGAAATCCCGCAAAGGTAAATCACATATCGGCTCTTCATCTCAAAGCTAAGATGATTTTGATACAAGTTATGCAATGAGGGATGGAGATGTCATGATCGACGAACAACTTGAACAAGAATTGCACCGACATAATAGTCGGTTTTTCAAAGACCAGTCGAGGACCATTGACGAAGAAGAGCTCGAGGACGACGATGTGGAGGAAGTAATTCCGGAGAGCCACGACGGCGACGCGGAGGAGGGTGGCGGCAGCCACGACGCCGATGAGCCTGCCTCATCCCAAAGAGGTACGAAAAAAATAGATCTGAAGTAATGCAAAATAATTTTGATAAGTAGAAGGACCCGAACATCGGGAATTAGAACGCAACTTGCAAGTGGTGCAAGAAAAATTATAGCTTGGGGATTTCCGGCGGATACGGATCCGCCACTAGGCATCTTAAGGCCAAACACCCGGTGGAGTATGCAAAATTAGGCGGCGGAACGGGGAAGCAAACTCAAATATCGAGATTTGCAAATAACCAACAACCTTTTGGTAATTTCTCATACAATGATGCACAAAATTTGACAGGTATGGCTAACTTACTTGTAGAAGAAAATTTGCCTTATTTGTTTTCTGAAAGTCTTGCTTTTCGTGAGTATGCACAAAATTGTTTAAATCCTCAATATAGAGGTTATAGTCGCAAAACGGTTAAGAAAGAAATTTCAATGCTTTATGGTACGGAAAAAGGTAAGATTACAAAATTATTTTGTAAACTTTGATGGACGTGTTACTGTATGTTCTGACATATGGGAGGATACTTATCATAATTTACATTATTTGGGTCTGACTGTACATTATATTGATAATGATTGGAATATGCATAAACATGTTCTTGCTTTTCGTGAATTTAATGATCGTCACACCGCTGAACATATTTATATTTTGATTGAGCGTATTTTAATTGAGTATAATTTAATTGATAAGGTGTTTGCTATTGGTTTTGATAATGCTACTAATAATACTGCTGCTATTCCTAGATTGCGTGAATTGTGTGGTTTTACTTCTTTGATGAGTAGATTTAATCATCAATGATGCGCATGTCACGTTATTAATTTATGTGTGCAAGATGGTCTAAAAAAGTTAGAAGCATCTTTGGAGGTAGTCAAGGGGGAGATTAGACGTATTTGAGATAATGGTCAACTTAGAAAAAAATGGCATGATTATTTGATTGAAAGAGGTGAAAAATATGTGGCTTTCCTAAAGATTTGTCTATTCGTTGGAATAGTACTTATAAGTTAATTGCAGTTCTTCTTAGATATAAACAATATTTTCCTGCTTTTATGAAACAATATGATAACTACTCCGTATATTATAAACTCGACTGAGATCGACACCTGCGAAAAAATTTGTAATGCTTTGGTATATTTTAATAATGCAACTAAAATTTCTATAAATTCTCATATTTTCTAACTTTTTTATACACATATTGTCCAATCTCCAATCTTCATTCTCCATCTTTATCTCCATCTATTCTAGTATTTGTAAAATCATTATATCTACCATTTTTAAGATGGAAAGTCAATATGCCGTTATACGGTATAATTTTAATATGCAGAAGGACTCGAGGACCGGGATGTGGTACACAACTTGCAAATGGTGCGAAAAAAAGTGTAACATGGGGGTTTCACGCGGATACGGGATGACAAAGAAGCATATTAAGTCATGTGACAAAGCCAAACGACCAGGAGGTCCGGGAAGTTCCGATTGATTACAAAATGTATTTCATAGTGTATTTTTTTCTCAATTGTCAAATGTAGTTCCTATTTCATTTCAAATAAATGCACTTGAAGTTTATTTTTAATACTTGTATAAAACTATAAAGTATAAATTAAAAAAAACTACTCCCTCCGTCCCTCTTATATTGTCCCGTTTTACTTTTTCGGGAAGTCCCACTAAAATTGTCTCATACCATATTTGGTAAAGTTTGTGTGGTTCTAAATCATTCTTACTTTATTCTTACTTTATCAATTAATATCAACCACACAACCCCACTTTTCTTAATAATCGTGCCACTCTCTTCCGACCCAATATAAGAGGGACGGAGGTAGTATTTAACTGGTATGGCCCGGCCCGACGAGTGGCCCGACCCGTGACCCGGGCGGGTGGCCCGACCCGAACCGGAACCGCCTTTACCTCGGGCCGGTCCCGGGCCCATTATTCACAAACCGGCGACCCGACCGAGCCTAGGCCCAGCCCGGGCCCGACCCGGCCCGAATCCATGCCTACTCCGTAGTAAACGATAGGCATTGATATTTTAGAATGGATAAAATTGTAATACAGAAGACAATATTTCAAGTTCAATGAGTGAAACTCTCATTAACTCATTTGATTAAAAATGCATCAAAATTATTTACGTGATAATAAAAGGTCAATGTAAAGCTCAGAGTACAAAATTTAATTATTGAATAAAATTAAATCATTAATATTTTTATAATATTTAAATATTTTTTAAAAAAATTATATACCTGAAACATGTTTAATTTTTACCTTAAACACTGGAAGACAAGCGGTTTTTCCCACCATCAAATTTATTTTTTAAAAATGTTGCTAAATATAATAGGGGTTCTAAACCATTTTTAAAAGACTAATAAGTATACCACTTTTCTGGTACTGTGTATTTAGCACATTTTTACAAATGTACCGGCCCTAGCACTGTCTGTGTCCAACCCCTGCGACGTCGCCGGACGGAATTCGCCAGCACCTCTTATTTTCGCCGGCACCCTATACCAGCAGCTTCATTCTTCAGTACACTATAGCAATTCACTCAACATATAGAGTACAGAGAGTGAAGAGATTTGACTGAGTTTGAAATAAACGGGAGAACGGAAGAAATAACTCGGCAATCAGACTCATAGCGGCTCTGATATCTTTTATAATTCCATCTTTTGGAAGAGGCGTGAGAAATTAAAAAAAATCAGCTTGCGATTTTAGGCACCTGAGATGCTGTATTTCTCCAATTCGGCGTTCAAATTCACTCCAAATCGTTACAATGCTTGCGATTTTAGGCACCTGAGATGCTGTATTTCTCCAATCAGGTAGGTTTATGCAAAAAAAGTCGGCGTTCAAATTCACTCCAAATCGTTACAATGCTTGCGATTTTAGGCACCTGAGATGCTGTATTTCTCCAATAAGGTAGGTTTATGCAAATTATCGCAATATATGAAAAGTAAAACCCTAGGCATTTCGAGTTTTCGCCTCCAAGTTGCTGCCCAGTTCATAATTTTGTGTTATTTGCGCTATTTATCTTCACTATTGAACCAGCTTCCTTTCAGTCGATTAATTGCACGTGAGATTGTGAGCACAAGTCATCTTCTTGAGCTGAATCTATACCTGGTTGCTCTGACATCTTAAAGCTGAAAATCTAAAGTTTTTATGGGACCATTAATCTACTAATTCTTTATATGGAATTATGGATTCATCTTTTTCCTTCATTTTCCTGCTATTACGTGTTTGGACGGGCTCTTCTTAAATCCTACTCGTTTTAAGAAAATTTGTTCATATGTGAATGTATTATTTTCACAATTACATTAAATATTATGTGTGTATAAAGGCTAACTACAATATCTTTCTACAGCAGACGTTTCTGCGTCTCAAACCATCCCATTAGTTCACATGACAATAGTTTTCCCAGGGAAATACAAATACACACTAAATGTTGTGCCCATAAGAGGTTTTTTCATATCAATAACGTGCTAAAAGATGGCATTTGTATTTTGATGAGCTAGAAATATTGGAGTTTTAAGGCCTGGATAATACATGTGAGGTTCATTAGATAGATTTGGCTTACTGATAATATTTCTTGTGCATTGGTAATTTTCTGGAAGGATTTAGACAAACTAAGTTTCTCACTGTCTGTTTAATGCTTCCAATATGATTACACATGAATTGTAGTCTCATAATTCTTTTAATCTTTACTAGATGATTCCTTGTTGCAATGATAAAAGGGAGATAGTAGGATGTCCTCTCCTTTTGAAGCAGCACCTCTAGTTTAGGCAATGAAGCAGGACATGCCTTATACCCTTATGCTATCAATTATTTTACATTTTTTCCTCTCATTCTGCTTTTTGGGATGCTTTTTTGCATTCTCTTGACCTATTTATCGCAGTACTGCAATCATTCAGATCTGTTTTTCGGGGGGGGGGGGGGGGGGGGGGGGCATAGATATAAGAAAAGACGTACATTTTTTATTTTTAAAAGTTGAAAACCAAATTTGAGCTTTATAAGTCTTTTGGATACATTTATGATGGGAATAGTTTTTTCAAAAGGCAAATAGATTTGGTTTTCTTTTTTAAAGAAATAAAGAAAAGGCTTGAATATTACACCAAGGAATGTGCGCTCACGCTTGTTTCTTTATTTTATTATGACATTATCATCTCTCCAAAAAAAAATGGTTCTGCGGCTGGGATTTTTTGTTTCCCTATTAACATTGATTAACTCGATTGATGTATGGTTGGTTGCCTCAAGAACATGAGTCAGACCTGAACAGGATACATGTGTTGTACTTGCTGTGAACTTGAGCAATTATTGTATGCTTTTGTTTTGAATAAAAATGGTGCTGCCAAAATTGCCAGAGAATGATGCTATTTTTCGAAGCCAGTTTTTGTTCTATCATTTTACCTTAAAAAAATCCTGGAGTTTCTCTAATTATGTTGTTTCAACATTGTGTCTCAGACACTGATATTATGAATAGAGAAGATTTAGGGAACATAATGACTGTAAGAGTGAAGCCAACATGTGTGACTGTTCTGAAGAGCAATGCCCACCACAATGACGAAACAGAGCCTGGACTTGAACCCTGTGTTGGCTTGGAATTTGATTCAGCAGAAGAAGCACAAGAGTTTTATAATCTCTACGCAACAAAGGCTGGATTCAGGATCAGAATTGGTCAGCTGTACAGATCCAGAATTGACGGCTCGGTAATTTCTCGAAGATTTGTGTGTTATAAGGAAGGGTTCCAGACCAACTCAAGACTTGGCTGTCCGGCTTTCATAAAGGTACAGAAGGGTGATTCTGGAAAATGGGTCATATGCAGTATCAACAAGGAACATAATCACGAGCTCCAACTCCCCGGTGAAATTTCACCCACAAAAATCCACAGAAAAACCCCTCCCACTCCAAGAACGTCTAGAGTGCTGTTAGCTAGGACAGGTCTTAGATCACTTGATGAGGATGGACCATCCGGATTGCTTGACGCTAAACGAATTAGAAGGGATGAAGATGAAGAAGAGGTTGGCGGTGAGCCTAAAGGTGAAGAACCATGCAAGGGCCTTGAATTCACTTCTGCCAACGAAGCATACAAGTTTTACAGCGCATACGCTGCTAAGACAGGGTTTAAAGTGAGGATCGGTCAGCTATTCCGTTCCAAGCTTGATGGATCAATCACATCTCGAAGGTTTGTGTGCTCTAAAGAAGGACATCAGCACCCTTCAAGATTGGGGTGTGGGGCATTCATGAGGATACAAAGGCAAGAGTGCGGGAGATGGAAGGTTGATCGCTTTCAAACCGAACACAACCATGGATTTGATGTACCGGACACTTCAGTTTTATTCAAAGAGGAAGGAAGCAGCGGGTTAGACAATTTGGATTTCATCGATTCGAACGGTGACCTCACCATCGTCCTCCGTGACCGTGAAAATAAAACTGGAAGCCATTGGTATAGTAAAATAACAAGCTACTACTTTTATTGATACAACTTTTGAGTTTGACTTTGAACTTCATAATCTCTTGGGACTTTTACAATGCTTATATCGTCAAAAATGGGACATAAGTGAATGAGAAGTGGAAATCGCAATACTACTAAAACTAAGACCTCGTTTAGTAAGACTAAAAGTAGCTGAATTAGATGTTTTTTTTGGCTTAATTGGCGGAATCTGTTGAAATAAGAAAAACATACTTTTAAAAATATCTTGTATTACTAAAGAATAAATTATATGGAAAAGTAGTTAATATAGTCCTATTGGCCTGTTCAACAAATTGAGCCAATTTAGCCCAAAAAATACGAGCAACTTTACTTCTTTTTATTATTAACCAATTCAACGCATGGAAGAAAAACATTAGTGTTGGGTAAAATCTGGCAGATAAGGCTGATAAGACAAAAAACATGCTTTACTGCTTTACGGATTGGGCTCCAAGACTACTGTATTTCTATAATCACTATTTTCTATTGTTTAAAAGGTACAATGTGCTTCTAGAATATTTCCAGACCCGGCAAGCGGAGGATACTGGCTTCTTCTATGCAGTCCAAATGTGTGATGGCAGGGTGATGAATCTTTTCTGGGCAGATGGACGGTCAAGATTCTCCTCCACCCAATTTGGGGATGCCGTGGTGTTCGACACTACTTACAGGAGGGGTGGTTATTCATTTCCATTTGCCTCTTTTGTTGGGGTTAATCATCATAGGCAACCCGTACTCCTTGGATGTGCCTTAATTGCTGATGAATCTGCAGAGTCTTTCACATGGGTGTTCCAAGCTTTGCTAAGGGCAATGTCCGGGAGACGCCCCGTGTCTATTATAGCTGACCAGGACTGGCCCATTCAACATTCGATTTCCCAGGTTTTCCCTGGAACACATCACCGCTTTTCTGCATGGCAATTCTTTTCAAAGGAGCAAGAACACTTGGGTGGGTTACTCTCTCTGGATCCAAACTTTAAGTTTGAGTATGAAACCTGCATTTTCCAGAGCCAAACCGCACACGAGTTTGACGCGGCCTGGAATATTCTCATAAATAAATATAATCTGAAAGACGACATTTGGTTGAAAGATATGTCGAGGATGCGTAAGAGTTGGGTTCCTTTGTACATTAAAGCCACGTTCTTTGCCGGTATACCAGTGGATGGAAGCTTGAATTCATATTTTTCCCCAATTTTATCTCCCCAAACGCCTCTCAGTGAATTTATACCACGTTACGAAAAGGCCATTCAGGAACGACGAGATGATGAGATGAAAGAAGATTTCAACTCGTTAAATCTGGCAACGGTTCTTCACACAAAAGACCCCATTGAAGAGCAATGCAGGAGGCTATACACCACAACAATGTTCAAAGTGTTTCAGAAAGAGCTTTTGGAGAGCTATGGCTATGTAGGGATAAAGATAAATGTAGAAAGCGCCATTACTAGGTACTTGGTTCAGAAGTGTGGGCCCAATTCAGATGAAAGGAGCACGGTTGCCTTCAATGCATCGAATCTTAATATAAGTTGCAGTTGTAAGATGTTTGAGTTTGAAGGGGTACTCTGTAGGCACGCCTTGAAGGTGTTCCAGATGATGAATGTGAGGGAAGTTCCATCTCGATATGTATTGCACAGGTGGACGAAGAAGGCGAAGTATGGCATCTTAAGGGATGTGGAGTCCGCGGGTGGTGGGTCCCAAGATTTTAGGGCACTTATGTTGTGGAGTTTGAGAGAAGAAGCTAATAAGTTCATCGAGATGGGAGCTACTAGTTTGGAGAGATACAAACTTGCCTTTGAGATCATGCAGGAGGGTAACAAAACTCTCAGGTGGCAAAGCTAGGAGGGTAGTGGGTCTCAGATTTAGGTCAGGTAAATGTTCATCTTTTTTACTGTTGCATTTGTCTTGATTACAGTGGTGAAAAAATGACAGAAGCTTTATAAGCTCTGAAATTTGTTTAATGTGTTGTCATTTTATTGAATGACCGTTTTCTGCCTCTGTAATGTATTGAATCATTTTCATCTATCCCCTACTGGAAATATGAAAAACCAGACACAGAAGGTGAACACCAAAAGCATAAACCTTAGGCCAACTAGAAATTCAGGAGAAGAAATTCACGTAGATGTTATACATACATGTGTTGAATACCAAATTATGTAACAGATGAGAAAACATGATAATTGTTCACTTGTTTTGTAATGGAAGTAAGTTTTATGGGTATATATAATGTACTCTGGGTTTATATATGAAGTATATATTATAGAGTCCCATTCTAGTGCGTCCGGCCGCACAAGAAGCGCCGTCCGGCCAACGGCTTTTGGCCGCCTTCCCGGTGGAATATTTTGATGAAATTTTTATGGCATGTTCTTCATCAAGTCTAGTTTATCAAAAAAAAAAATCAGCTAAAAACTCAATCCGGAAGGTCATCAAATGATTTTTTGAAGTTAACTGTGCAAAATTATACATAGAAAAACGCAGTTAACTTCCAAAAATCATTTGACGACCTTCCGGATTGAGTTTTTAGCTGAATTTTTGTGTGCATAAACTAGATTTGATGAAGAACATGCCATAAAAATTTCATCAAAAAATTCCACCAGGAAGGCGGCCAAAAGCCGTCAACCGGACGGCCCCTCTGGTGCGGCCGGACGCACATGAATACTCCTCATATTATATATATATACACACACATATATATACTCCGTATATACTATCTATATTTCTTGGTTATGTACACATCCTTTTGTTATGACCATAATTAATGCTGCCATACATATTTGGAACATTTCTATATTGCTAAAATGGATCGGAAAAGGATAAAAGCTTTCTCTAATGCCTGAAGAGTGGAAGGAAACCAAAAGCATTGTCTGTTTTCATGTGTACATAGGCTGATAGGCCATTGCAAACTAGGGCAAATTTTTACAATAGATTGTTCCTAAGGTGAAAGTTCGAGATTTGTGAAAAAAGTGGACTCCCAGCTCTTTAGCCGTTGACTTTTTATTGAATGGTCAAGATCGACAATGCAGAGCCGAGGATCCAGCGAGTGATTTGGTAACCCAAAGGGAAAATAGCTACATCCCCAAATCAGTGCATTGTTTAAACAAATGGCTTTTGGAGATCCCTCTTGGCTCTTACCAACAATACATAGGATTGTATACATTCTTTGTCTCATTTTGCTGGACTCCTTTGTATTTATGTCATACTCGTTCTGATTAACAAAATATTATGTATATGTAATTAATGTTATCGCAAAGGAATAAAAAACAATTATTAAAATATCGATTTTAAGTTGTGTTGACGTACTGTGTGTGTAAGTGTGTGTAACACATGAACGACACTTCATTGAGATGTTTAGATAAAGGAGATCAACCAACGGAATGGATCATACTTTGTAAAGTCGGTCCAATCCCATTGATGATATGATTTCTCGTGTTTTTGTTTTTTAAGGATAATGACATAACATATTAATATAAAACACATATCAACTGGCGTATCTTCAAATCTAAAGGAAAGTTAAATATAATTCCTTTTTATACAAATACTTTTCAGAGGATTTATATTACAAAAGTTAACCAAAGAAATATACGAAAAAAGAATGCATATAAATTTATTGGATATGACTAATGTATTTTTCCATGACATTTCTCTAGAGCCTTAAATAATAAAAATAATAATAACAATAAATAATACGTAGTACGTGGTAATAATAAAAACAAGGTATATCGCGCCCTCCCAGCCTCTCTTGGTTCACCAATCAGTCCTCCAATAGCTCCAAACCCTAATCCTTTAATCATCGTGGAAAACATCTTTTTTCTTAGATTAAACAGGGAATACATCCTATTTCTTAGAGTAAACTAATCATTAATTACAATGTTAGACAAAGCCCGATTTATAACATGTTTACTTTTTGAGAACTATTGTAATGCTTGCTTGTATAGGGAAACAATGAGAAAGCCTATAACTGATGGACTTACCAGTTCGCTTTCTAAAGCTAAGGGTTAGCACATGACATGTTTCAAGAAGAAGAATCATTTACATTGTTTTTAAAGAAGTTACATACATGGTCAAAGAATGGTGTATGATTCTTACAACTGCATGTGTAGATTATAAATGAACATTACATTTGCCATGCATTTATGAACATCAAAGCATGCTAGGTTTGCAGAAGAATATAATCTCCATAAATTTGCCTTCAAGGGTGGGAGGGGTCGTCTCTCAACAGATTGAATGCAGTTTCAACTAAAGAGTGCATGGTTGTGGTGTGCCGATTCATACCAACCGACCCAGAGAAAACATGGAAGCTCTCGATCTCCGATGTGGTCTCCATGATGCACTCCAGTTGATGCTCCATTCCCAGGTTCCTCAAAACCTCAATATTTCTTCTTTTGTCTCTCATCATCCAGATTGCCAATTCTATGGCAAACCTCCTTATTCTTGGGACCTTTATTGATGGATATTGATGGCTCTCCCAGATTTGAATTAGTTTTTGAGCGAGTTCGGCTTCTTTGATCCCGGCTTTTCGAAACATCATCCCTGATTCTTCACCAGGTTCCATATACATGAAAACATGGGACGCTAATCCAAGCATTACTTCCTGCATTTTGCTTTCCTCTGTCATGATTGCTTTAAGGATCTGCAATAGTGAAACTCTCCTATTAGACTCGAGGAGATTTGTAACCTCTTTGGTAAGATGGATTTAAGAATTTGATTTTAAAAATCGTTCCACAATTCAGTTCATAAAACACTATTCTAACAATTTTGCACAAAAGAAAGTATGAAATGAAATTAGAATTACCCATAGATAATGAAAAGTGCAAACAAATACCAGCAGGAAAGAGGGAGTTCTAACAAATGAAGATTCACCCCCTTCCATAATGGCAGAAACTTACAGTTGGTCCAGAAGCAGTTAGGCGTTGAAGCTGGACAAAGCTACTAGATCCAGTGCTATAAGCACACAAGTTCCTCAAAATCCTGGCCGCATTCGCCCGAAGAAGACGATCATCCAATGCTTCAATCAACCTTTCTGTCACCTCCAACTTCAACATCCGGCGGCAATTCTTCTCGCTCTCTAGTGCCAACATGGCTAGCGCTTCTCCAGCTGCATTCCTCACACGGATCTGATCAACATCATCATCATTCCTCCTCAACCCATCCTCCTTCTTTAGGAAAATGCGAAACAGCTCCTTAAGAACTCCGCCGGTCCCTCCGATCCTCTCCGATGCCTCCTCCTCCAGCGCGAGGCTCTTCAGGATATCTATCCCTAAGAACTGCAATACCGAGTGTTTTTCACCGTACTTCAGTATGTCCCTGATATTACTAACAGTGAATACCACTTCGGAGATCTCTTTCCTGAGATCTTTCCCGGTGGCGCCCGCCGTGCTAGCCAGCATTTGTAGAACCTGCAGAGACCGTTTCAGCGCTAAGATCTGTGTAGGTGTGGCGGATTCATCTCTCAGCATTCTCTCCCCCGCCTGTGCGAAGTCGATGATTTTAGGTAATAGTCCTCTCGTATTTGCAATTTTACCGCAGTTGTCATGATCTCTAGCTAGTTTCTTCAGAATTAGAAGCCCTAGGTGGTTGAATGTCCAGAATCCGTAATTCTCGCTGTCGAATATTATCCTCTTCTCGGAAATCTCGTCGCGTGCCCCACCTGGACGGTCGCGGATGATTTGCAGGAGTGAGGATATGGATTCCATAGCTCCCGGAATTCCGGCGACGCGAAGAGCGTTCTGTTTTCTGCCGGCGAGCTTTGATAAGATCTCGGCGGACGAGAGCCTAATCTCTTCGTCTTCTGGATTCTTCCAATTCAACATCTCCACCAACCTTTCCATCACTGAAATATTAGTCCCAATCTTCTGAAGAGTATCGTCGGAGAACCGGGGATTGGTTGAGAATTTCTTCAAAATACGAGCTCCTGAGAGCTGTTCGTCGGGGAAGTTTGAAGCCAATAGTTCCATCCCGAACGACACCATATCCATCTTCAATCCATCAAACACGCTCCCAAACACGCATTTAGAATAAGCATCATAGAAGAACCGTTTGACTGAAACCTCACCGGAAGGCCCAAGTTCACACTCCTCATTCACTTCCTCTATCAGCTTGCAAAAAGAAACCTTCCATTCACAATAAGCTTTCTCTACGAGAAACAACAAAGCCTCTGCCAATGCTAATGAGTAGAATATATCTAGAGCCGACTCTCTGTTCCTCCTATCAGTGTCTCCCTTTGCCACCTCTCCATAGTCCTGTCTGATCAGTTTAATCAAGGAGAGGACCAAACAGGTCGTAGCAGAAACAATCTGCAGCCAATGTAGCACCCTACCCATGTTATTTGATATGAAAAACCATTTTGCGTATGGAATGAGAGGAACCTCTGAGGTTGTCCATGTCCTTGTGGGCATCCTCATCTTCTTCTGGCCCGAGTCTTTAACGGACAGAATCTTATCCCCGCCATTGTTTCTTCGGATCATCTTGAAAGCTCTGGAGATGAATCGGGACCCGGATTTCAAAGCGCGGAAGCTACTAATCCCGACGTCCGTGAGAGACCATGTTGCTTGGTGTTGCCACTCGAGCTCATGGCTTCTGCTGAAAATCCGGGTCCCCTCTATGAGGAGAATAACAGTTATGAACCAGAAATCTGTTTTGGCTAAGGTGATGGCAAAACCCCCTAGGAGCACAACGGTCGCCCATATGAAGCCGAGAGTACCTAGTCCTGTTGCCGCTTTCTCTAACACTGCTAACCTCAACGCGAAAAGGGTCAGTTTCTTCTCAGGTGCTCTGACCTGCTGGGGCTGTTTGGCAGTGACGGGATTCTCATTGTTGATGATATTGTTTTCCATTTGTATATGAACGTCACCACCTTCGCTTTCTAATGACTGCCCTCTATCCATTTCGCAGCCTGGTATAATTTCTTGGATTTTCTTCAATAAGTTGGATACAAATTTGGGAAGGATTGAGTTCAATGCTTAAAGCTTAAGAAGTTTATGGAATTACAGCTATGGGTTTTGCTGTTTGGAGTATATATATGCGCATAGACAGAGACGTACAGAGAGGTGGAGAGAGAGGGTAAGGAGTGTGCTTGCAGAGCACGTTACACAGTTGCGTCTCTTTCTGTAGATTTTCCCCGGGAAAGTTAAGACTTCTGGCAACAAATTTGTGGGTTATATCCACCATAATTAGTGTTAACGTCATGAGTAATTCCATGGAGAATGTTGACATCTGCATGAAGAGGTAGCTTACAAGTATGAAATAATTCCATTTGATTGCGGTCAATTTGTGATTTGGATACATCATGCTCCGTCATTTCATCGCTGTATATGCTCTTTAAGAAGTAGATGTTCGTGTTCTTTAAAATTAATTACAATATCACGGTTTGACAATCTTATTGGTCACTTTTTCACAAAAAAAAAACACTTAGTTTTTGTCTTATGTTTGTAAAGGTGTTTGAATTTACTTCTTAAAATTGTTTCTTTCTTTCGTAGAGCAAAAGCAGATATTGGGTGTTGAGCACAAGAAATTGTCCTAAATGGGACTAAAACATGGTTAAAACTCCAAAATAGGATTTCAAGTTTTAAATCGTCTAAATGGAACTCCAGATTACATTTTTACCCCTAATCCCTAAATCACCTTCTTCCCAATCTCTCTGCATCGATCGTGAGACATGGGATTACAACTTCTCCCTGCGATTGCCTAAATGCGACTCAACAGCCATGGACCCAACTCACCGCCATCGATCGCAAATTGACCAGCTATCATCGCAGCTGCCTGCCTGATGCTGGCAGCCACCTCTTCAACGATTTCTCCAACAAAATCAGGTATTCCTCTTCTTCTTCTTTTTCTCCTTCTCCTTCTCCTTCTTCACAAAAAAAAACACTTATTTAAGAGCTGAATCGGCTCATATAATGAAAGCAAAGTGTGAAGATTCGTAATTTAGTTTTTGGCTTATTTAATTTAGACATATTTGGATAATTGGATCTACTTCTTAAAATTGTTTTTTAAATTAGTAGTTTTTTAGAAGTTTGAGGAGACTATTTCTACAAAACTAATTCTTGTTTTTAAAAAAGTAGTAGAAGTAGAATCAATTTTCAAAAACCTCCTTAGTTTATAAAATAAATATATTTAGATACTTAAATTGATCAGGTTCAGTTTTTATTATAGCAAAGACTAATAGAAATGATCGAATCTATTTTTTTAACTAAAGAAATCGGGAAAGTTAAAAGAAATTATCTAAAATAAAAGTAAAAGTAATCAAAGTTAAGTTTCGAAACATATATTTCTCCTGTTCCTATTTAATTGTAACATTTCTATTTTCACGTTTTCAACGCACAATTTTGATCATTGTATATTAAAAAATATATAAGGTTCAGATTTTGAAAATTTGAAAAGAGCGAAATTTATAATTCATTAATAAATAAGATGTATTCGAACTATGACATGTAAATAGTACGTATCAAATTGTCAATAATACATTAGAAATTGCCCTAAATAAGAGAAAAAACGTTCTGAAATTTCAAAATAGAAGTATCATATTTTTTATTCCTTGAATAGGAGTAATCTGACAAGTTAGGGAAAAAATGTCATGTTTAATAGCCTAGTAATGCCAAACTTGGCAGAAATTTAATCATAATACATTTGATACACTCATACACCTAAGCCGGTCATTTCAGTTATTTATATTTATGGTTTACGTTAAAAATAGGCTCTAATTATTGTGAAATGATTGGTTATTAAACACGTTGGCATCTTTTAATTATTATTGGAACTGATCCATCTCCGACTAAGTTTCCTTCCAAGCTCCAACGGTGTGAGTTGCCACGTGGCTTACATTCAATGTCGGCAAATATTCTGTTCTGCCTACGTGTTATCGTAAGAGTGGGGGACGTGAAGGCCAAGCTGGATTTGGATTCTTGCTAAATGAAAACGACCCTACTTCCTAAATTGCCTTTTGTTGATAAAAAGAATTACGAAAAGATATGATGCTTTATTTATTTTATCATAATATCTGTGAACTAAGTTGCTCCGTACAAGCAAACGAAAGTCCCCATCCTGGGCCCGGATCAATTCTCTACGGTGTATTTCATAAGTGGAAATTTGACTAAAAAAATAAAAAATAGAATAGATTCTAGACCTTTTTCTGCCAATTAATATGAGGTAGCGGAGAAATGCAAAATTCCAAAGTCACGTGGAAACAAACAAGAGATATTATCCGAAATAGAACTAAAACGGTTTAAAAATTTTAAAATAAGATTACCATATTTTTATTCCAAAAATAGGACTCATTACTGCCATGTTTTGGCAGTACCAGACTTCAAACATGTCAGTATTTTTTAAACATGACAGAAATTAGTCCTATTTTGGGAATAAAAAACATGATAGTCTTATGTTGGAATTTTGAAACTATTTTAGTCCTATTTCGGGAACTTTCCGTTAAAACAATTGAGGGATATGGTAAATGGCAAAACACCTTAAATTGCTAATAGTCTGTTGTGTAATCTACAAAGTATGGAGTTACACGTAGAGCCCATTTGGCAGCATGAAAATCGGCTGTTCTGGTTGATTCTGCTGAAATTTATGAAGATTTGGCTGAAATGGCTGCATTGGTTGATTCTGCTGATACAAGAAAAAAATATTTTTGAAATATATTTTATTAATAAAATAAAGAAAAAATTATATGTAAAATATCTAAAATGGTCATCTACAGTAACTTCAGCCAATACAGCCAGAAAAGTAACTTCAACCTTACTTTTTCGACTTATTACACAATTCAGCGTGCGAAAGCAAAATTTACGTGTTCGGTAAAAAAGTTGGCTGATAAACCTGATAAGCCGAAAATGAGGGTTGCCAAACGGCCTCATAGTCTAATATCTTTTGAGTTGATAGTGTCTCAGATGTCACAAAATCTTTTATATTTGGGTTTACTTGAACTTTAATTGAAAATCACTTAACTTGCTAGTGATGTAGGTAATTAATATTTTTAAATATTATTGGTTGACACTTTACAAAACGCAGCATCCATGTAAATATATATCTATTAGAGTTACACTTCAAAAATGTTATCAAGTTTATAGATGCAATATCCTAAATCTCCAATCAAAGAGTGCTAGCTTTTATGATTTGTTTGTTCAAATTAAAAAATGGCTAAAAGGTCACATAGGTACATGAACTAACTTAAAGTGTTCAATTAGCCCCTTATATAGGGGATTCTGCCCGGCCGTCGCCAATTGGGGAAGTTCCCGGTGGATTTTTTTATGAATTTTTTTGAGCATCTTTTTTCATTAAGTCTAGTTTACTCATCCTCATACCAAATTTCAGCTAAAAATTCAATCGGTAAGGCAATCAAATGATTTTTTGAAGATAACTGCGCAGTTAAACAGCGCAGTACATTTAGAAAAATCATTTGACTGCCTTCCCGATTTAATTTTTAGCTGAAATTTGATATGGGTAAACTAGACTTAATGAAGAAGATGCTCAAAAAATTTCATCAAATATTTTTACCGGGACCCACCCCAATTGGCGACGGTCGGGCAAAACCTCCTATATAAGGGGCTAATTGAACACTTTAAGTTAGTTCATGTACGTATTTGACCCTTTAGTCTTAAAAAATTAATAGCTTGTACGTATGAAGAAAACAAATACAAGTACTCAAGTAAGATATTTTCTCTCCTTAAAATGTTACAACTAATACCCCCCTTTGTTCTCTAATACTTGGCCCCCTTTCTATTTTGGGATGTTCCCTATTAGTTGTCGTTCTTTCCACTTTTGGTAAGTTTTTTCAATAAATATACTCATTTATTCTCATTCTTTTTCCTATTTTTTCATTCTCTTTCCCACTTTTACCTTTACACACAACCCACTACACCTTTTATCCTACCTCTATTAATTCTTTCTTAAATCTTGTGCCAAAGGCTATACTCTTATCTATTAGAGAACGGAGGGATTATTAACTACTCCGAATAATATAGGATTTCAAAATTATATTTGAAAACTACTAAAATTGCATGATGAGAACATGTGTATGTATGTATGATATAATATTTTTTTTAAAGTTGCATGGACAGTCGCAATTTTTTTTATTTTGCATTTTAAAACTTTATATTTAAAGTGATTACATGTGAAGTGAAATCATTTTGTATGTACAATAGAAATACATTGTTTGTGAGGTATGCGATTTATTTTTATGCATGGTGTGGCTCAGAAAACATCACACGTAAAACTGAAATTGACAGGAAAAACATACGTAGTATGTAATAGTAGACATCACACGTAATATATACGGAGTATATATTTACACGTGTATATATGTATAAGTAATACTATCCTCCCTATCTCATTAATTGCAACATTGGAATATATATACTATTCATGTACTTTACTTAGACTACATTTTATTTATTAATGTATGTGAATTATTTTTTTTGAAAAATGTTGTTAAATTCGTCTCATTACTAAGTTTTATAATCTAATTTTTATTTTATTTTTAGTAATACAGAATTAAATATAATGACAGTCAAAGTTGTGCGTTGGTAAACGTGAAATGTTGACTGTTGCAACTAAAAAGAGACGGAGGAAGTATATATATATATATATATACATATACATATATATATATATATATATATATATATATACACATATACATATATATACATACACACACACATATATACACACACACACACACACACACACACACACATATATATATATATATATATATATATATATATATATATATATATTATATAGGGTAAGGATCAAATGAGAATATCATCCTAGGAGAGAAATGAGAATGATTTTGAAGCGTTGGATTTGAGCATTGTGCGTCACGTAAATCTGAAACGTGCATATAAAAAATTGGAAAATGTGCATTTCGTCTGTGCAAAATTTTAAATGTAAATGTGCATCGGACACTAAACTCCAAAACTAAACACCAGCGGAAAATACATCTGCCATAAATATCAGACACTAATTTGGGAATTTCTTGTAGTGCAAAATGATCATTAATGCCTTACTGGCCCGGTCAGTTGTTGTGCAAATTCGGTAATACATGTGTTTTCTATATATATGCACATATAGCTTGAAGCCTTGAAGGCTTGCATTACATGAGTAGTGGTGGACTCGGTTCGGCCTGAGCCTGGGCCTCGATTCACGGTATTGGAGGCCCGGAATCGGCCCGGATAACCCCGGGTCCGGTTCGGTTCAGGTCACCCACCCGGTTCACGGGCCAGGCCTTTTAATTTTTTTTAAAAATTATATATTATATTATTAGAATAATTCTTATTACAAAAATAATTTGAAGTTGTAAGTTATAAGTTTGTAACCAATTAATTAATTTAAGTTATAAGTTTGAGCATTATTGAATTGATGTACACAATAATATAAAATAATTCAAGTATATTTATTTCAAATAAGAAGTACAATCGAGAATTAGGATTAATTTAAAAAATGTAATACATTTTGTAATAAAAAATCAATCAGAATCTCCGCCTTCGGTTGTTTCCTCCATAAAGTGACGGGTGGGAGCGATGGTCATTTTTGAGTTCTTCGTTGGGCCTTCAACCAATTATGGAAGAACACTAGCGTCTCAAGAGAGCTCGGGCTCAACCGCGTTCTATAATCGGTTAGGACGTTGCCGGCCGCACTAAATTCTTGTTCCACGGCAACGGTTGATATCGGCATTGCTAGCACTTGCTTAGCCATCTTTAATAAAATCGGGAACGTTCTTTCATTTTCCTTCCACCACTTAAGAACGTCAAAGTCATCCCCAACTTCGTAATCAACATTCAATGTTAGATACAAAGAAAGCTCGTTACCTGAGCTTTGTTCAATAGCGGGAGTTGCTCTACTTTTTTTCAAAAGAGAACCAAAAGCGGATTTTAAAAGTGATTTCCCTTTAGATGAAGAAGATGTTCGTGGCATGGGAGGGGGTGCATTACCATATTGTGCATGAAATTTATTATACAATTGATGAAATAAATTACTAACCTCGTTGAATTCTTGTTTAGGGTCGATGGGATTATCATCGAACTCTTGAGTTGGAAAAAAAGAAGCATAATAGTAATCTATACAATTTGCCAAGTAAGCAAGTTTATAACGAGGATCAAGAACAAATGCAATACCATATATATGCGGAATATGTGAATAATATTTTAAAAACTTTTGTTTCATGAAATCACAAAAATAACTAATGTAAGCAGCATCGGAAAATTCACAAAAAAGCCGGCGAGATTAACAGCCTCAACAAAAAATTCGTTTGCGGTAGGTTTATAAACATGACTAAAAGTTTGAGTTGCGTTATTAAAATATGGCAAAACATTAACAATTTTTTCACAAGTGTCGATGTCAGCCGTGTTTATAATATAGTTACAAGATTGTCTTAAAAAAGCAGGAAAATGATCTTTATATCTAATAAGTACTTGAATTAAATTATAAGTACTATTCCAACGAATAGACAAATCTTTAGGAAAAACACAATCATTGACACGTCTATCTTTCAAATATTGCCACCATTGCATTTTTAGTGGAGTGCTAGCCCAAATCAATTTAATTCCCCCCTTCACTACCTCCAAAGCATTTCTTAATGCCGCTAAGCCATCTTGTACACACAAATTTAGAATATGACATGCACAACGTTGATGAAAAAACCTACCCATCAATGTAGAAGCACCACACAATTCACGCAATCTAGGTATAACAGTAGTATTATTACTAGCATTATCAAAACCTACAATAAACACCTTACCAATCAAATTATACTCAATTAAAATACGCTCAATGAGAATATAAATATTATCAGCAGTGTGACGATCATTGAATTCACGAAAAGCAAGAACACGTTTATGCATATTCCAATCATCATCAATATAATGTGCAGTAAGACCCAAATAATATAAATGATGATAAGTATCCTCCCATATATTGCTACAAATACTAACACGTCCATCAAAGTTTGCGAAAAATGTTTGTAATTTTTCTTTTTCCAAGTTATATTGCCTTATAACTTCTTTTTTAATCGTTTTGCGACTATAATTTCAAAATTGAAGATTTAAAGTACCTTGAGCATAATCTCTTAAAGCAAGGCTTACGGAAAAAATATAGGGTAAATTTTCTTCAACAATTAAATGAGATATACCAGTCAAATGTTTTTGATCATCATAGGAGAAATTACCAAAGGGTTGAGAATTTGCAAACCTCGATATTTGTGTTTGCTTCCCCTTAAGATGCCTTGTGAGACTCCCGTATCCGCCAGAAGTTCCCAAGCTATACTCTTTGTGGCAATGATTGCAACTTGCGTACCATTTTTCGGTATTTTTGTCTTTCCTTTTTGTAAAATTGTTTTCAATAATAGGAGATTTAGATTTCTTACCAATTTGGGGTGAACCGCCCTCGTCCTCCAACTCTTGCTCATCATCCGGGGTGCCGTGAGTCCCGTCGCCCCCCGCGTCCTCCTCCGCATCGTCATCCTCGAGCTCCTCTTCATCAATGGTTGTCGGGAATTGTTGTTCTTGTGCAAAGCGTGGATCATTTTGGGACAATAGGTTTTGTAATTGCTCGTCGGACATCATCATATCATCTCACCGTTGGTAATCCGTTTCAAAATCATCTCGACTTTGAATACAAGACTCGGCCCGCGCTTTACCTTTGCCTTTGCGTGAAGTAGATCGAGTCGACGCAATCTCCCTCTTGCGGTTGCGTTGGAGATTACCCACATCTACAGTACAGAATGTCTACCACGGTTCATCTTTAAAATTGAACAAATATTAAATGATATCAAATATTTTATATGAGTACAATAGTAATAATAAAATGTGACTAAGAAAACTATAGCAACTTCGAACTAAAATATGAGTATATTTTAGTGTAACAATTTGTTTTCCTTGAAAAAAAATCGAACTACTTCTAATTTTTTAATTTAATGAGAAATGTAGTAATTAACTAATATGAGAAATGTAAAAATTAACTACTTTTTTTTACTTTAATGAGAAACTAGTATCTTACCCGTGCGATGCACGGATGCATATCTTGTTCAAAGTTAAGCATATAAAACATTATAACCTATAAAAAATGATATACTATGTATAACTGTAAAATGTCAATATATCATAAAATCACCACACCGATGACATTGTAATAATAGAGTACACAAAATCTATTGCAACTAAACTAAATTTCAAGGTATAACACGATGCATATGTTTTGACGTGGAGAAATTAAAATAACAAAGTAATAGCATGATGTATAAGAGCCCATATAAAAAACAACTCAATCCACCCATATACATTACACTCGTCACTGACTCGACAGGTGGTAATGTGGTATATAGACGAAATAACAAACATCATCTCGGGGTTTCTCGTAATTCACTCTTTTATAATTGATGTCTCCAGATATTAGAGTCGGCATCTATCTCCACATATTTGAGGCAACGTCTCGTTCAGAACCTTGCCAATTTTCAATAACCAATCTTGTAGTTTTCAACTTTTTCATTTTCAAATCTTTTTAATTCAAAATGTCTTGAAAACGGTTGTTCTGATATTCAATTTTTGTATATTTAAGATCATATTTCAAAGGAAAAATTGACAAGAATAATACCACATTTCACTGGTCTTCTCATAATAACCCCACCTTTAAATAATCCCAAAATAATCCCACCTTTGCACCTCATCTTCTTTCATTGGATCCTGACCATGTTTTTTATTCTTTCTTTGAAAATTATATAAATAATCTCACCTTTCACTTTTTAATTATATCCTTATAAATGTGAGATTATTTATATAAGATTTTTAAAAAAGGTAAAAAAACTTGGTCAGGGTCCAATGAAAGAAGATGAGGTGTAAAGGTGAGATTATTTTGAGATTATTTAAAGGTGAGATTATTATGAGAAGACCAGTGAAAGGTGGGATTATTCTTGTCAATTTTTCCTATTTCAAATCAGTATCTTAGTTTTCAAATTTGCAACTATGCCTTCATAGTTTGAAGTTATCGGTACCAACAGATTGGTTCACACTTTTTATATTTTACATCAAAATCTTTCAATTAAAGTATTTTGGTTTATATATATGAGAGGTTACTATGCCGAAAAAGTGCATAAAGATGATCAAATTTAAATGCAAATATAAAGACAAAACTATGCCTTCATATTTTGCTAAATAAAGTGAAGTACACTTTACTTTATATATATGGAAGAGTCATCAGACTGAAATGCAAATATAAACTGAGATAAAACTCAATAAAGTCAATACAACAAATAAGAAAATCTGAAGAATGGGTAGCAAATAAAACATGGCACAAAATGACCTCAGATAGAAGCTCTTTGGTAAAAATCTGCTCGTAGGTTACATTCCATTTTGTGTTGGATATGTATTTCCTCAAATTTAAAAACAAATCATTTTAGATTTTTTTTATTATATTCTAAAATGATCTTATGAAAGAAGGAACCCTAGAATCATGCATTAAATCTCTAATAAATAAAAGAGTGGAAATAAAAACAGAGAAAAATTCAAAGAAATCAGTACCTGGGACAAAGGAATTGGGTTGTATGCTGCAGTCGTTGAGAAGACGATTTAGAAAATGTATTGTTCAATCTGAATTTATATGAACCGTACCAGAAGAAATAGCCACCTTCGGAGATGAAACTCTGAAGGCCTTGGGTAGAGATGGATAAGTGAAGGCGGGAGAAATGGAGAGAAACAATAGAGGAATCAGAAACAGAGTCCAAATAGAAAGGAGAAGAGGCAAGGTATGCGCCGAGGAGATGAGCGAAGAAATACCAGATGTCGATAAAGAAGCAGAGTGGAGTTACAGAAATGCCTTTAGATATGAACGGGAAGAGACTTAGAGCCCGTTTGGTAGCACGAAAATCGGCTGATTTGGCTGATTCTGCTAAAATTTATGAAGTTCAGACTGAAGTGGCTGCATTGGCTGATTCTGCTGATTTAAGAAAAAAATACTTTTAAAATATATTTTATTAATAAAATAAAGAAAAAATTATATGTAAAAATAGCTAAAATAGTCATCTACAGTAATTTCAGCCAATACAGCCAGAAAAGTAACTTCAACATTACTTTTTCTGCTTATTACACATTTCAGCGCGCGAAAGCAAAAGTTATGTGTTTGGTGAAAAAGTTGGCTGATAAGCCGATAAACAGTATTACCAAACGGCCTCGATCATAATAATATATAGATTTAATCAGTCTTTATCCATTATTCGAATGTCTCCCAAGACTTGGCCCGACTCATCTATGTGATTAAATCAATTCACTGGCCCATCAAATAAATCCTTGGGCCCAACATGTGTTTTTTCGAGTCTCCAAATTCCCAAGTTTTTTGTCCCTTTGGGTGTACGATTTTTGTTTTGGAAGATTGAGTGCAAGAATTTATTTCCATATTACTCCCTCCGGTCCTAAATAAAGTTCATTGTTTTATTTCACACAAATTAACGAAATAAATTTAACTTTATTGTACAGCACACTGTTGTGACATTGTTTGACACCGTTTGGTAATTTTTGGCACTGTTTTGCACTATTTTGATGTAGATCATTTGCCAAATAATGAAGGGAGAAGAAATGTGAACTTTATTTTGGACCGACCCAAAAAGGAAAGTGTGAACTTTATTTAGGACCGGAGTACTTCTTACAAAATAGCACTTACGTACGACTGCTTTCCCTCAACCTCCCACTACTATGAAAAAATGAAAGTACTCCTCTTAATCATAAAGGGAAAAGTTTTGGGTACGGTATACTCGAGCCAAAAGAATGAAAATTAAGGATCGATCGGCACGTTAGGACTTGGGAGCAAACATGGTATTGGTAATGATGCGTAAACGGAGAACATTTATTTTAAAATTTACAATGCTACAAGTTAGTTATTTCGGAGGATAGTAAACAGAAATAGTGTAACAAAAATATGATATTCTGATTACTAAATAATATATTTATTTATTAGTTTACATTTTATTCCCTACAAAATAAGAGTTTTTTACATATATATTACTAATATTAAAGAGGTTTACAAAAAAGTGACCAACATTACCGAACATTTACAGTGGGTGGCGAGTAACGTAAGGAAAAGACCTAGTTGTCCTAAAATTCTAAAACGGTTATGGAAAGACTTCATCTCGGAAATATAAGGCGGTGAACAGAGACGGTGATTAACAGAGATGGTGAAGGTCGAGAAAAAGCGGATTTTGCAGTTGCCTCCTTTGTTTATAAATCTCGCATGAATTGAATAAGATGCAATTTTGACTATTTAATTCATTTTGGGTTTCCGATGGTGAGTTTGAACTGACCGGAGTAGATGATAATGATTAATGATAGTGTAGAAATGGTTTGATAGTTACTTCAAGTAACTTAGGGTGATAAATGATAGTGGAGTATATATCATATAGTAATGATATTGGAAGTAATGAGACGGTAGAATTCCGAGTAGCTTAGGATGAACAATGAATAGAAAACACGTTTTTGGGTTTGAGTAGATAGTAATGATATTGGAGTAATTAAACGATAGGATACTCTGAGCAACTTAGATTGAGAATGGAATAGAAAGCATGTTTTTGGGCGTGTGGTTGTGAGTATGAAGTGGACTACGTAGTCATAATATTCTAGTAATGAACCATGGCTAAGCTCGATTAATTGAAGCAGAGAAATGAATAGAACCCATGTTTTTTGGGTTACTGGTTGTGCGTTTAAAATGAAGTAGATAACCGTGAGAATAAATTATAGTGGAGAAGGAAACTGAAAACCTTGATAACCGGGAGGTCAAATGAGGAATAGTAAAAAACGTTTATCTTCATTTAATTCATAGTCATATTTTTGTTAATGAGATTTAAACTAGTAATATTTGTGTAATTTTTTCACAAAATAATGCATTTCTCCACTTTATTTACAAAGATGTCACCGCTCGCTCGTTGATAACTGTATGCATTTTTTCCAAAAAATAATTTTTCTTAAAAAAAGTCATATTTTATATAAATATTTAATATGTTTTGTTTTTAATATTAAGACCATAAAAATGTTTCAAAAAAAAATAAGACTGTTATGTTTTTATTCCTTAAATAAGAGTAGTTTCTGCCAAATTTGACATTATTAGACATGTCAGTTTCTGTCAAGTTTTCTTCAAACTTGGCAAAAATTACTCCTATTTAGCGAATAAAAACATGAGAGTCCTATTTTGGAATTTCAAAACATTTTTACCCTTATTCAGGGCATTTTTTATATTTTGTATTAGAGGTGGGCAAACGAGTACAAGTGACACGCGTCGGACCGGGTAATATAGGTTCGAGGCGGGTTAGGATCGGGTTCTAAATTGAGAAAAACCCAACCGGTTCAGGGCGGGGCGGGTCTTTAAAAACTTAGGAATTGAAATATAATTATGAAAAAATGGGTACCCGGATCGAACCATTTTATAATATTATTTTAATAAACTCTATTATATTTTTTTAACATAATATATTAACACACATAAGATCTTCATGTTTTTGTGTCTAGACAAAGACTCTCAATTAAATAAATTTGTCAATATATTAAAAAAGAGTTTCAAAGTCCATATAAACTCTTCCTCAATTCTTTATTCCAAATGCATCAAATTTTCTTTCTTTATGTTTTTTTGTAAATAGAGACTCATACTCAATGAAGTGTGACATATTCATTTAATTATCTTAATTTTACTTATATTTTGAGATTAAATAAACTTTAAATTGTTTCCATAGACAAATATTTATAGTAACTAGTTTAATTTCTTACGAGTTTATAGTTTTATCTTTTTAGTTTATGGATGATGATGTCTAAATATCAACATTTGAAAATTTGGTATTATTTGATTTGGGTGGTTGTGTGCTATTTAATTTATAGATTTATCACTAGAAATTTTGGTAACTAACTTGAAATGTTGTTTTATATTTTTATTTTGAATTTTTACTTTATTATGGTGACATTGATACTTAATTAGTTTGAGAATTTTATAACTTACTAGATACTTTGCTAGCATAGATGTATTTTAGTTTTGCAAAAAAGAACCGAGAACTAGGACCGAACTAGCCCGTTTCAAATGGGGCGGGTAAGTTCTGGTTCCTATTTTGAGATTTGGTATACTCGGACCGAACCTACCCGTTTAATGGAACTGACGATTCTTAAAAATTTATTAATTACCTGGACTGACTCGGACCGTGCCCACCACTATTTTGTATTGTTCTTATTATTTTATCCGAAAAACTATTCTCAATAAAATGAATGGATAATTTTTATGAACTAGATTATATTCTATATATATATATATATGGAAACCAAACCAAACCAAACCATTTGTAACATATCATATTTGACATGTGTAATGTGTTACATTTAATTTAGATGGAGATCTGAGTCAAAATGTTCTGTTCTCAAGATTGATTGATGACAACTGACAAGTGTGAATGTATTGCTTGCTAGAGAAGTAATTATGTATGCCCACATACTATGTTGCTTGACGTCTAATAAAAAAAAACTATCTGCTTTTCTTTTTTCATTTACATTTATAACTTTTATTATTGTTAGCGATCGTCTTGTATTTTGAAGAGCGAAATATTCCATGCGCATATCCGCACAAGGCCACACGCCCACACAAATGACACAATAGTGGCAAAAAATGAATGGTTCAGACAAGGGTAAATTATACTCCAACAAGGACGTTGACACTACAAAAAACAACGTTTTTTCCACGGATTTTTGTCAGATTTGATCTGTGACAGGTTTGTCACGGATCTTATTACGGATTTATCTCACATGTCACTAAAAACCTTTGTCACAGACGCTTTCCGTGACAACACAGCTCCGATGACTGGAAATTTATGCCGGTGTAATTTTTTTTATCCCGATGTCCTGTCACGGACAAAATCCGTGACAAAATTATTAATTTTTTTTCCCGTTTGTCATGGACGGATCCGTGACAAAATCCGTTACAAAACTCAATAATTGCTATTTCCAATGGTCACCGAATTAATGTTGCAGGGATAGAGGCCGTCACAGAACAATCCTTGACAAAATCCGTGACATAGTGTTTTATATATGCAAGAACAGTTTCATTCGACTCATACCAGTTGAAATTCAATAAGAGTATAATTCAGTATCTGTTGAAAGATTGAACAATGCAATCTTATGTCATTTTCCCTGCCGATGCATATAAGGTATGTCATTTGAATTATGTATCTTTTCTAATGCTAAATATTAATTTTTTTTTGTTTTAAATAATTAAAATTGTTAGTGCGGTTGTTAATTAATTAACAATATACTGTGTAATTTCAAATGTTAGTGATGTTATAATTTATTGTGCATATATTTGAAATTTGTTTGGAAATGTATGTATAATAATTTTTCAATTATTGGTAATACGATTAGTTTAGGATTTCAATCGATAATACTAGTTAAATTTAAATATTAACTAGGTGGTCAATGAATTATTATTGTGAATTATTTGAATTTCATTTAATTTAAATGTTAGTTAATTTATTGTGTATTATTAGATTTCCAAAATGTTAGTATTGTGAATTAATGCCATTAACGTAATGATTTAGTGTATGTAGTGTTAAAAATCTTAGTACTGTGAATTAATGTACTCCGTAATTAATTAACGTATACAATTAGATTTTAATGTATTTAGTGTTAAAAATCTTAGTATTGTGAATTATTATGATTCGAAAATTAGTTATGATGTTTGATTAATGCCATTAACGTATTGATTTTAGTTAATTAATAATATTGATTGAAGGTTAGTTAATTTTAGTAAACATTAGTGAAAATTAGTGGAA